AGGACGCAAATGGGCGCCGCTGCAGGCGTTGCCATGTACAGCCGAAACGCTGGCGGGCCTCCCTATGCTACGTCCGCTGGACCCGGCATTGCTGGATGAGCCTTTTGACATGGACTTTTTGCGAAACCACTGCGCGGTCTGCGACATCAACGGCAAGATCGATTCGCTTTACATTGCGATGCGCGAACGGACACTTTCATGGCACTCAATTCGGCGCCTGCCTGTGTTTTTGGGCGGCCTTGAGCCCTGCTGGGGCTTTGACGCTCTGCTCGACGCCAACGACCCATTTGTGGAGGACGAGTTTGAGAACGACGTCAACAGCAGCGAGGACGAGGTCATGGGCGGCATGCCGCGCCCGTCGGCGGGGGACATTGTAGCGACGATTCCTTCGCTGAAGCGGGCAGCGTCGGAGATGTCACGATCGTCGAGCTTTGGATCGGTCGCGGGTCCGTCGGCATCAGCATCGAGCAACGCCAAAGGGCCTGCGCCCACGTCAACGGGCGCTGCAACAACGTCCTCGGCGACGGCAACATCCACGCCAAGTGCTGCAGAGGGTGAGGGATCCCGCCCCAAAGTACCACGGATCTATCCCTTGCCTAACATGGTGGAGGTCCGTAGAGGTGTCAAGACTTCTTGATTAGCGACAAGCGACCACGGCCATAGCGACATAGAGCGACAAACGCTCACAAGAAGCCACTGCGTCTTCTCTTACAAATTTTCGTTATTGCCTTATTTATTTCTATCACTCCGCTAGTCTTCTGCAACCTTACCTACCTATTAGTCCATTTTTTTGCGCGCTGAAAAAAATTAAAAGAGGAAACGGCAGCGGACGGTTTTATGCCTGAACGGGTGTTTTTGGGTCATTACTTTTTGAATTGGTGTTTTGTTTTGTCCGCGTTTCTCCCAGCTTCTCCTTGACGATTTCTCTCTTGCTTTTGTTACTTTCTTAGCGACTTATTTCCCTTATTTTTTTCCCCCTGTTTTTTGAGACGAACAGGCAAACATCATAGACCCGGAGTATGGAGATTTATATATTTTTCGATGGTAGTTGGAATACCTATTTCATTTTCATTTAGTTTTATTCGCCAATTTATCTATTCTTTCCAATGTTTGCAGTCTCAATTTACAATACTTGTGCGGTGTAATCTCCTCTTTTCGTCTCACCTAGCGGCTCATCTAGCCATACCGCGTGAGGTTTGCCTTAATGTGGTGTGAGAAGATAGAGATTGCAAGCGGCCAAGGAGAGGGAGAGGACTTTACTTATTTTCGCTTTCGCACATAATAGCCGACAAAATTATTTAAAACATACATGACATTGTGCTAAGCACCTAATTTCCACTGAAAATAAAGACAGTTCGATGAGAGACACAAGTGAGAAATGGAACTTGTTTTTCGAATTGAACACTTATATCTTTTTCATTTTCATTTTCATTTTCATTTTCATTTTCTTTTTCTTTTTCTTTTTCTTTTTCTTTTTCTTTTTTTAGTTTACATTTGCACTTATATCTTTATTTAATTCACATTAAGAGCCTATGAAAATAAGACAACAAAACGTTTTCAACTCGAAACCAACATGATGACCACCAAAGCATTGCGTAACTAAACAAACACAAGATTTCATACCCAACACGTCATCTAAGACGGCCATGACGAGATGCCCGTGCCACTACACAGCCAAAATGAGAACCCGCTGCTTTCCGAACGTATTATCCAATGACGTTCTTTGCGCATGAAGCCATAGTGTTCGTTATTATCAGGTGATAACGAATGGGTGCGATTGATGCCACTTGCAATTGCCAGCTTCTCACCTCCCTGACAGTTTCACAGCATTTGTGGCCATTCCTTTATTACGGGAGCCAATACTAGTCTTAATTCTATCTCATCTCGTCATTCATATGGTACACAAAAGAAAACGCAGACAAGGACTGTGCTTAGGCAATCTTGATCACGGACTTGCCGTGGACAGTGCCCTTTTCAATCTCCTCGAGAATAGCCTCGATCTCGCCCAGCTGGCGTTCGACAATCTGCGGCTTGACCTGCCCGCGTGCAACAAACTCCAGAGCCTCGGCCGTGTCGGTGCGGTCACCCGTCGAGGTGCCCTCGAGGCGCAGACCGCGCGCAACAAAGTCTTCGGGCAGCACAGGGATGGGTGTCGGGCGCAGCGGCAGGCCGATGCATACGAGGACGCCCGACTTGCGCAGGTACTTGACAGCGTCGGCATAGGCGACGCCTGACGAGGCGCAGATGAGGGCACCGTGCGCACCGACGCCGTCCGTGGCAGCGACGACGGCACCGACGCAGCCGTCGTCGTGGCCGGGGGCCAGCACGTCGACGTAGGCGTCAGCACCGAGCGACAGACACAGGTCCTTTTTGTTGGCGTCGAGCGCAACAACCTTGAGGCCCAGGGCTTTGGCGTACTGCACAGCCAGATGGCCCAGGCCGCCGCCCGCACCGGCGACGGCGACCCAGCTCCCCTTTCGCAGGCGGGCAATCTTGAGCGCCTTGTAGACGGTGACGCCGGCACACAGAATGGGTGCGGCCTCGGCGTCGCCCACGTTCTCGGGCAGGCGCACGGCGTACGCGCTGTCGGCAATGGCGTACTCGGCAAACGTGCCGTCGACGTCCTTGCCGGCCAGCTTGCGGCCGGCGCACAGGTTTTCGTGGCCCGTCGTGCACGACTCGCAGGTGCCGCAGACAATGTGGACCCAGCGAACGGCAACACGGTCACCAATGGCCCACTGAGAGGCATCGACGTCCGGGCCGAGAGCGGCAATCACGCCGGTGCCCTCGTGGCCGCCGACAGCGACCTTGGGCCGCAGGTAGGGGATGAGGCCGCGGGCGATGTGGACGTCAGTGGCGCACACGCCCGAGTAGTGGACCTTGACGAGGATCTGGGTGCGTTCGGGAACGGGCGTGGGCCGCTGCTGGACGGAGATTTTGCCCTGGTCGTCGCGGATGGCGGCGGTGGATGTCGTCGGGACGGCCATTGTGGGATGGGGATGGTGTAACGGGAGGGAATAGGAGGGTGTAGAGGAAGAAGAAAACGAAGGGGAGGAGGAAAAAGAAAGGGCCAAAAACATAAAAAAAATCAAGGACAGTCGAATGCCAGAAAGGTGGTCTCTTTTGATTTCGGATCAGACAAGTAGTCTTTCTCACACAAATAACTGGCAACAGCATCCATCTACAGCTGCCCGTGTCATGTCTCCAACTCTGGTCGTCCCGGATACTATATCCTCCAGCACGAACCGTGCTCCAACGTTGGAGTCGAGTCGCTTCGCACGTCGCGTCGAGCCAACAGGCAGGTACGCTAGCTCTCCCTGGTAGCTCCTTCCCCGTCTCGCCCGTCACGGCAACGTGAAGTCTCCATTTGCCTCTTGCCTTCGCGTTTACTTATTGCCAACTTCACACTTGGCGCGCGTGCAAGCATCCTTTCCCTTAGTCTTTTCGTGCTTTGCACTCTCTCTTGCCCCCGTTTCCGATGTCCCCGGCCTCTGAGCGGAGATGGAGCCTCGTCCCCACAAAGTACCAAGGGCCAACTGCTAGGCCGAGATGGGGATCCGCTCACGCGTGCCTGCCCCGTATCTGGACCCACTTTATTCCACTAACACTTATTCCCGGGCCGGAGCCAGACACCCGCCGCTAAGTGATTCGGGGGGATGGTACGATGGAGGGCGCTGATCGGGTGCTGCCAAGACAAAAGTGAGCCGGCAAAGGACTCCCATTTCTGCGTCATTCACGTCTTGTCTAGTCGTTTCCTTTCCTCGTCCGGTACCTGTCTGCCGCCCCCTGCCACCGCCACGTTTTGGAGAAGTAGAAATTTTCTGGGGTTTCTCCTTCCGGCAGAAAACGCGCGCACCTTTTCTAATGTTGGGGTACAAGGAGGGAAAGAGTATGAGCATCTCCAGACTACAAGAAACGAAGTACGGAAGGACGAAAACGAGGAGAAAGAGTGCAGAAGCTGTGATTTTGAATCTGGGGTGTCCATGGGGTGATCTCTACTCCATATTTTTTTTCTACATCTTCTCCAGATTCTGAGACACGTGGACGACGGAAAAGAAAAAAAGAAAATAGAAAAGAAAAAACGAAAACAGAACAAAAGCGAACGTCGACAACACCAGCCTTTACTTCTGTCACGCCTACCCTTCTCCCACATCAGCATTCGATCTCACCTCGCTTCACCTCGTCTCGTCTCTTCCCCCGCCTTGGCCGTCACCTCATGCACCTCTCTCCGCCTTGGCTTCTCCTAATTGTTGGCATTGCTCTTCGTCAAGAAACGACGGCGTCTCCAACAATCGTTGTCCGCCCGTCCACGCGCCCTTTGTCGTTTGCTCCCCGTCCTGCTCTAGACAATCGCTTCCTCGCTTCCGGCAACATGGGTTCCCGATAGACGAACCATTAGACACCCCACACACTACGTCGTCTGTAGGGACGTTTCCCCATCTCCCCAGCGCATGGTTCGCGGGGATCCCCAGTTTCTAACGGTGTACATCTTCTCTCAGCTCACCTGAGTATCCTTTCTCCTCCACAGTTTCTCAGACAGCCAACCGCCTTGGCCAGACTTGGGCTTTTGCTTCCTACCCTGGCCCTGCTATCCTTACCTCATCGGTGTTAGACCTCTTTTCTGTGTTATTGCTTCTATTTCCTTTCTCCATTTCGTCCCATGGCAGTCTTGTCTCCAACAACTCCCACTAGCTTGTCCCTGGTCAGTCAACCCAGATTAGAGCCGATGCATGACCATCACAAACGCCATGCTATTCTGACATTTAAAGGCACCTGTCTCGGTCACTTTTCTGTTTCCGGATCGCTCACGTTTGCTCTATATCATTAATTTTGTCCTTCTTGTTTTCTCTCTCTCTCTCTCTCTCTGCCATTACTTCTTTGTTTGTTTATCACATCCTAACGCACACGTCCAGCGTTGAGTCTCCTTTTTGTTCTCTTCGCCATTTCGCCTCTCTCCACATCTTCTCACCATTATGAAATCTGACGAGATTCCTCGTATGTTATACCCAAAATCGTCTCTCTTTACGACACTTTTCAACACACTCACACAAACAGGTCCCGAGGTCATTGAGGCGAATGAAAAGGTTTCTGACCAGGATGCCACCTCCATCGGCAACAACCTCAAAACCCGCGGTGGCGTCGTCCTCATGCCCCAGCCCTCGGACGACCCGGCCGACCCGCTGAACTGGTCCTGGTTCGAGAAGCACGCCGCCATGTTTACCATTTCCTACTTGGCCCTGATCTGCTACATGTCCGTCACCACGCTCGTGGCGGGCACTGTCAACGTCGCCGAGGGTTTGGGCGTGCCAAAAGCCACGGCCGTCTACCTGGGCAACACGCCCGTGGCGCTGTACGGCGTGGCGCCTTTTCTGTGGAGTCCGCTGAGCCACTTCATCGGCCGCCGACCGGTCCTGCTGCTGAGCAACATCATGGCCATGGTGGGCGCGGGCATCGTGACGAGCGCCGAGAACTACGGCACGGCGATGGCAGGCCGCGTGATTCTGGGTGCCGGCGGTTCGGCCTTTTGGACGCTCGGCCCTGCATGCATTGGCGACATTGTAGGTTGTGCCCGTGTTTTCAGTAATTCACCCCCTCTCTGGCTTCGTCTGCTTTCTGCTAACGTGGCGTACAGTTCTTCCGCCATGAAAAGGGCAAAAAGATTGGCATCTCGACACTCGCGATTGTCGTCTCGCCGTTCCTCGGCACGCTTGTCGGCGGCGCCATTATCGAGAACCCGCACCTGGGCTGGCCCGCCTCGCAGTGGATCCCGCTCATCTTCATGGGCGTCGGCTTGGTGATGCAAGTCTTCTTCTTGCCCGAAACAATATACGTGCGCGAGGTGCAGGGCCAGCGCGCCGGTCTCGCGAGCAAAACCAAAGCGACGCTCTGGGACCGCTACGGCGTCCGCATTCCGCAGCGGACGAGCGACAAGAAGCACTCCTTCTTCTTCATCTTCTCGCGGCCGTTTGTCCTGCTGCGGTTCCCGGCCATCACCCTCGGCACCTTTTGGTTCGGCGTCGCCTACATGATGCACGTCGGCATCACGGCCGAGATTCCGCTCATTTTCGAGGCCAAGTTCCACTTCACCGTGCTCGACGTCGGCCTGTCGGGCCTGTCCGGCCTGATTGGCGCCCTCATCGGCGAGGCCTATGCCGGCCCGTCGATCGACTACTTGGCCCGCCGGTCCCTCAAGCAGGGAAAGGAGTGGCGCCCCGAGTACCGCCTCAAGGTCATCTGGCCGGCCCTCGTGGCCATTCCCGGCGGCCTCGTCATGTTTGGCACGGCCATTGAGTTTGGCAACTCGTGGGTCACGCCGCTCGTGGGCCAGCTGATTTACATTTTCGGCATCGAGATTGCCACGACCATCATCCAGACGTACATTCTGGAGTCGTACCCGCGCCAGGGCGCTGAGGCCAATCTCATCTTCAATCTGGTCCGCAACATCTTTTCGTACATTTCGCCCTTTTTCCTGACGCCGTTCATCGCCAAGGTCGGCTATGCTGCGCCCTTTGGCCTGTTTGCGGCGCTGACCGTCGTCTTCTTTCCGTTCACCATTCTGGTGCTGATGCTGCGCGGCAAGCAGCTGCGCGAGAAGGCCGGCGACCCGGGCTGGAGCAGGGACTAGGCGTACCTAAATGAGGTAGACGAGTTTAAGAAACTGGTGCTTGAAACGTATAAGATATGTATCAATAGAATATATTGCTTACGGAATCGTTGCTGAGTTGAGACTCGTGCAAATGTGAGATTCTTATGGAGAAACAAGCATTACATTATTATTTCCCCAAATGCTGGCCTTCCAAGTGCAGTGTGGGTGTATTCTAATTCAACCTTTGTACGGCATCCTACCAATACACAGTCCACCCAGAACGATCCTAAAAAGCATACTTCAGCCCCGGCCGCGTCAGACTCACAATCTGGCGCTCTGTAAACTCCTCGACCCCGGCCATGCCGCCAAACCGGCCATAGCCACTTGCACCGCCAATGCCGCCGTTGGGCAGCGGTGCCTCGACGTAGACCGTGGGGCCGTTGATGTGGCAGCTGCCGACACGGACCTGCTTGGCCAGGTCGGCCGCCAGCAGCACGTCGCGCGAGAAGATGGACCCGCAGAGCGTAAAGTCGGTCTGGTTGGCCTGCGTGACGGCATCGGCCTCGTCCGCAAACGTGTTCACAATGACGACGGGGCCAAATGTTTCCTGCTGGTACAGATCCATGTCGGCGGACACGCCCTCCAGGACGTGCGGCGCGAGGATGGTGCCGTTGGGGCCGTGGACCTGCAGGTCGCCCGTCAGGGCCGTGGCGCCGGCATCGACGGCCGCCTGCAAGAGGCCCAGAATGCGCTTGGCCGAGGCCGCGCAGAACAGGCCCGACAGCTGCACCGTGGGGTCGTCCAGGTGGTTGCCGACGCGCAGGGCCTCGACGCGCTGCACGAGCTTCTGCTTGAACGCGGCTGCCACGGACGCATGCACAAGGACGCGCTCCGTCGACATGCAGATCTGGCCGCTGTTGCTCATGGCGCCAAACGCCACGGCGTCGGCGGCCGCGTCCAGGTCGGCGTCGTGCAGGACCAGCACGGCCGCTTTGCCGCCGAGCTCCAGCAGGCACTTCTTGATGTGCTTGGCCGACAGCGACGCGATGATGCCGCCGACGCGGTGGCCGCCGGTGAAGTTGGTGCGGCTCACCTTGGGGTGCGCAATGGCAAACGCGGTCGCCCGCGGCGCGTCGGCGGCGCTCGTCGGCAAAAACTGCAGCACACCCGGGGGCAGGCCGGCCTCGACGAGGGCGCGCACGACCAGGAACTGCGCCTTGGGGCTGTACTCGCTCGGCTTGAGCAGGACGGCGTTGCCGCAGATCAGCGGGCAGCAGACGGCGCGCGCCGTCAGGGTGACGGGCATGTTCCAGGGGCTGATGGCCAGGACGACGCCGACGGCCTCGCGGTTGACCAAGATGGTGGTGCCGGGGCGGTCGGCGGGCACGATCTCGCCCTTGATGTGCGTGGCCAGCGCGGCGTTCTCGCGGAACACGCCGGCCGCGCTCAGCATGTTGGCCTTGACCCAGCTGCGCGTGGCCGAGACCTCGGCGCTCAAAATGGCGACGGCGTCCTGGTCGAGGTAGGACTCGATAATGTCGGCGGCCTTGAGCAGCACGCTGCGGCGTGCCGACGGCCCCAAACGCGACCAGGACTGGTACGCCGTGTAGGCCGCGTCGATGGCGGTGGTGTAGTCGGCCGGCGAAGCGGAGGCGCACTGGTAGATGGCCTCGCCGGTCATGGGGTTCATGACGGGGAAGGTGGTGCTGCTTTCGGAGGCGACATGCTGGCCGGAAATGTACAGCTGCAGCGGTTCTGAGACGGGAGGATACGACATTGTGGCTGGCGTGGATAAACAACAGTGTTGAGGTGGGATGAGAGCAGAACCGAAGATATGACGATGTTCGGTCTCTTTTGTTTTCCCTTTTTTTGGTTGACTATTTTATTTGTCAACTCTGACCACAGTCTCCCGCGCTCTGAACATTACAAAGAGTCGCCCGTCGTCTTCGCTCCGTTTTCGTGCCAAGGATCGGAGTGCTGTCAATGTCTTGTAATTTGACTTCGTTTCGTCGTCGTTCGGCAGACGAGATGGCCGAAGTCCGCTTAGAGTTGAGATGTTAGTTGACCGCGCTGTCTCCTCCACACTAAAGTTGACGGCGGCGTCGCAGACGAGGATTGTCGACTCCGACGGCAACCTGCCCCGACTGCAACCTGCCCCGGCATTTGATTTTCCACTTTTCAATTTCGACCTTTTCACTTTCGGGATTCTGCGTCCACCAGAGAATGTCTTCGCTGACTTTTGTCTTAGCCCTTATTATTCCCAGAGAAGCTAACATGGGATGAATAAAAATATGGAGAAGCATCCTTGAAAACCGGGGAATGCAATGCCAAGCATTCGTCACCGACGGGGTTTGCACGGATGGCTGGCTCCGATGTCACGGAGGCACGTCACTTTTACACTACCACTAGCAGTTGTGACATGTCTTTGCATTGTCATGACGAATGACTCCTAGACTAGAATGAAATTGATGTTTGGTGACGGGGACGTGTTGTCGATAAGCTCTCGATTGTAAGACGCATAACCCGAGTAAAGCTCCAAGACACAAATCTAGCCTGCTCAAGTCGCCTATATTTACCGAGGAAGCAAGTGATCAGTATAATGAATGTATCGGTTCCTTCTGTCGTCTTGACCGTCACTCTTCTTGGTTCGCAAGATAGACCAACGGGGCGAACCTCGACCACCGTGGTGTCCTATTCCGTTGTTGAAACTGTAGATTTTGTTGATGCTGTGCTGGGAGCCGCCAAATTGTTCCGCCGATTACCATGATCCAGTTGTAGTCAACACAATCATCGGCCGGCGGAGACATGAAAGTACCAGTTTCACTTGATGATGCTCGACATCCCGCTCGACGAATGACAGTCTGCGTCATAAACTGTCCGTGTTGTGAAAGAGTGATGAAAAGAAGAGAAAGACCAGTAGCGTTTGGAAATACATTGTTGCAAAGTGTTATTATCACGGTGCACGGCAGGGTTCGAGTCTCGCTCGTCATCTTTTGGACATTGTTTATACTTTGGTGACCTTCGATCAATACATCAAGCTCATTTCTGCACGACATACGACGTCAACTACCCTCACCTAACCATTCCGCATAATCGCATCCATGTCCGGCCAGTCCAGCATTCCTGCCGAAAACACGCCGTCAATGTCTCCTTCGACACTCCCACCGCTCCCCGGATGCATGCCCATGCCCATGCCCATGCCCAAGAACGTGTCCATGACCCACTGGTTCTCCTCGGGCTCGCCATCAAACAAGGACGTGAGACCCGGCTGGGGGCCCATGGGCTGGCCTGGCCAGGGTGGGAAGCTGCTGTGGGGGTGAAGATGCGACTGGGCGTGCCCATACTGGTCATAGCCATTGCTGCACAGGGCACCAACACCCGCGCTGGCAAAGTGTGCCTGGTTCTGTGGCGGCAGCGTCGTTTGTGTCGTTTGCGACGTTTGCGACGGCGACATGTGGAGGCGCTGGCTCTCGTCGACGTGCAGCGCCGACGACTGCGACGACATGGACGCCAGCCGCCGCGTGACCGAGGGAGGAGCCTGCGAGGGCGTGTGCACAGCAGCGGGACCATGGGCAGGCGTCTGCCTCTGACGTGGTGCTGGGGGCGCGTAGGGAGACGGCGGGGGGTGGCGGGGATGAGCCGTCGTGCTGGATGGATGCGCTGGCACGGTGCCGTCGCCTGCTGTGTTGGCTGTGTTGGCTGTGTTGCTGTTCTGGTGTACATCGTCACGTCCCACCCGCCGCGAACCCTCTTCAAAGGTCGCCACGACCCGCGAAAAGCGCTTCATGGTGCTGCATTTGTCGACGCGCATCAGCACCTGCCGCGTGCGGGCAATCAGGCGCCGCAGCTCCGCACAATATGCCGCATCGGCAGCAGACACAGACACAGCGCCCTGGTCTTGCTCGCTCCCGCCGTTGAGCGATCGCAGAATCAAGACCATGGCCGCGCAGTAGGCATAGAAGACGTCCATGGCCGAGACGCCATTGATCAGCCCGAACGAGTCGGCAAGAAGAACAAGGCGGCAGAGCTGCACAGCGTTCTGGACGCAAAGATCGGCCAGGGTGGGCGGCGCCGCAGAGGTCGCGGGCGAGGGCGAGGGCGCTGGTCCGCCGTCGTGTGCGACGGGCGCTGTCCGCGCTGCACGTGCCGCCATCGAGTAGAGCAGGGCCGACCGCGTCGACAGCACGGCCACATAGCGGTATTGCATATGCAAGACGAGGGCCGCCCGCAAGCGCGGGCGGCTCTGCCAGGCGAGCATGTTCTTGAGGCTGTCGAGGTCCATGGAGGGCGTCGACGTCGACGGTGGTGCCTCCGCCACGAAAGCGTCGCGTCCGCTGTCCGTGGTCTCGGTGATTTGTGGAATGTCGAGGCAGCGACAGCCGGCCACCGCCGTCCGCCATTCGTCGAGGCGCTGGAGGATCTCGCGGGCGCTCTGTTCTTGGCGCAGGCGGCGGCTCCCGAGACCGACCGTCTTGACGGCCGCCGAGACACGGGCACCGGCGAGGATCGTCTGAAGGCGAAGCAGCAGAGTCGCCATGGCCCCGTCGTCGTCGTCGGCGTCGGCACTGCCGCCGCCGTCCAAAATCTCGGCCCGCGGCGGCACAACCTCCACTTCATTCGCGTCGTTGGCCGACGACAACGCCGACAGGCCCGACAGGCCCGAGGGGCGTCCGAGCGACGACGCCAGAAACTGCTCCAGGCCAAACAGCGTGCAGAACACGCGCCGCCGCACTTCGCGCTCGACCGGCCGCAGGTGCTCCGCGCCCACGGTGCAGCGGTGCAGCCCCATGGCAAAGGCGGCGCGGGTGGCCGTGCCGACGAGGTTCCACGCCGCGTTGCGCTCGTTGTGGTTGTGGAGGTACAGGGCCAGCAGCAGCAGGGCGCGGATGTTGGCGAGCGTGCATCGCGAGATGAAACGGGGCAGCAGACGGAAGCGGGTCAGAGAGACGCAGTGCTTGCGCAGGGCGGCAAGGTCGACGTCGTCGTGCGTCTGGCGCGACGAGGCCGCCGTCGACGGTGTCGCGGTGGACGGCGGGGGACGGTGTTGGCTTGCGGACGAAGAGACGGCCGGCGTCACGAGCGACGCAAACGCAAGGATCATGTGCAGACAACCCAGCCAGCCCGGTTCGGCCGTTGGTGTATCGGTGCGACGCCGCGGGTGGTAGAACGACTCAAAATCGGGAATGTACCGCTCGTACTCTTCCTCAAAGGTGCCGCGGTGGAAGAGCGGGAAGTCGGGGTGGACGCTCTTGAAGTACACACGAATCAAGCCGTCCAGCACATGCCGAGGCGGAAGTTGGGCCATGATGCCGTTGACGTCTTCCGGCTGGATCGTGGCGCATTCACGCGCCAACGCCGAGCTGCTGGACATGGGCGATGGGCGGTCGTCCATGAGCGGCGTGTGGTGATGCAGTGTCGGCGGCGCATCACTGCCGTCGTGCGAGTTGTCTGCCTCGAGCGCCTGGGCGGCATCTTCTTCCGTGAACGTGGTAGACAAGCGCTGTGACGCTCGTCCAGGGGCGCTGTAGCCGCTGCTGGGGTAGCCAATGCCGTGGTAGCTGCTGTTTCTCGACATGTTGTCGTGCTGCGACAGCAACAGCAGCCTGCGCAACTGGCCCAAGAATTGCAGACTCCCCGACGATCCAATGAAATGCTCTTGGCCGGTGGTGTCTCGAACGAGACCAATTGCCTCGCTCGACTCATCCTGCGGGTTCGAGGACGCTGTGCCATCCGTGGTGGTGGTATGACGTGTGTTGTCTGTGTTGCCACTATTTCCTGTGTTGTGCGTGTTGTCTGTATTGACGGTGTCCGCTGACTCGGGTTCCGTGGCAAGTGGCCGTGCGTTTACATGGCCCGCGTCCGACTGTGTCGGGGCATTGGTCATGGACGGCCTGCGGTCACCACCACCACCACCACTTCCACCACCGTCTACAGCACCCTCCACTGCCGTCGTTTGGTCCGACGTCACCGATTTGGACGGGGTGTTGACCAAGTCGTCCAGCGACAGCTTTGCCCGTGCGTCGTCGGCCAAGTCCGGCATCGTGACGCCCAGCCGGTGGCCCAGCCGGAGCAGCTCCGGCACTGTGGCAATAGGGTCGCTGGGAAAGGCACCGCGGACAATGGCTTCGAGACACTTAAAGCGGTCGCTCAAGTCTTCGACGGAGCCATAGAAGCGGGCCTTGCGCGGCAGGGTGTAGGAGCAGGCGACGCCCTGGGTGTGGCACATGAGACAGCCATCGCCGGCGGGTTGGGGGACGCACTTACAACGGCGCTGAGATGTTAGCAGAGCACCACGTGGGTGGCCGATGAGATGCCACGATATCCGTACGGAGACCTTACCTTTCGACAAAAGTCACCTACAAGATCGGATGTCAGCAAGCCGTCACTAAGTCAACGTATCAAATCACTATATCGAGTCTATCGAGTCAACATGATGACATAAGCACTGGGTGACTGACGTACAGCTCTGGACGGACCGTTTCCGGGAGGTGTCGGCGACGCGTCGCAGCCGCCGCGTGGACGTGACCGAGGCAGTAGCAGGGGCTGCGTGCCCTGCAGGATGTGACATCATCATGTGGGAGGGGAGTGAAGGGCGAAACGAAAGACGGAAGAGTGTCAACGAGAGAAGATTGAGGTTCGGTGCCAACGATGCTGGGCCTGGGGCTGATTTCGTTTTCTGTCTCCCAATAAGTCTGCGTCAGAAATGAGCTCCGGGATGGCCCGGCAGACTGAAACTGTCTGACCGAAGCAAATACCGGCGAACAAAGACCGGTCAAGATACACAACTGACCCACGTGAGTCTGTCCGTCAAGTCCCACGGGAGTTGTAAGACCAGGAAACGATGGAAGCACGGATCAACTGGCAAAGAGGAACACTCGTGTTAGTCGGAAGACGGCGTTCAGAGAGTCGTCTGCCATTTGTCAGCCAATGTCCGTTCTATGAATTCTGTCTCCAAAGCAAGTGACGGAGTGTTGAGAGCGAAAGAGAAGATGGCAAGAGAAGACAGTCAAATACGGAGCCAGACAGCCGATGTGGAGCCAAACTCCAAACTCCAAACCCCAAACCCCATCTTGTTAGTCTCCCCAGCTGTTCCACGTCGGCCTTTCGTTGCGTTTGTCGTCCGTTAGCCGTTTTGCCGTTTGCCACCCGCTACCATATCAAGTAGCATGACTCCCCACCGCATCGACTAGCGTCAGGGCGGACATTTCCTCAGACTCGGGAATAACAAGATACTCAAGAACAACACCATGTTCGAAGGGAACATTTCCACTAGGAAGCTAGATCGAGGAACTATGCCTCTGGGGCCTGGCTGTCCTCGACTTTGACGTCGACTCGACCCGACCGATGTCCGTGATCGCAATCGCAGTCAACAAGAGTACCACCAGCTTACCGGTTCATCACGCCTCACCACGACCACCGCAACGACCACCACAATGTCTTCGTTCGCCCTCCCGTGCGGCCGTCGCATGGCCTACGCTCTGTCGCAGCCGACAACGTCCAAGCCGGTGGTGCTGCTGTCCAACTCGCTCTGCGAGGACTACACGTCATGGGATCGCGTGGTGCCCGTGCTCGAGACGCTCGGTTTCCGCACGCTGCGCTACGACCAGCCGGGCCACGGTCGCTCGCCGGCACCGGCTGCCGACCAGATTGCCGCCACGACATTCGAGACCCTGGCCGACGACGTGGCCCAGCTGCTGAAGCACCTGCACATCAGCCGCCTGCACGCCTGGGTCGGCGTGTCCATGGGCGGCATCAAGGGCGTCTACTTTGCGGCGCGCCACCCGGGCGTCGTGCAGAAACTTGTCGTCGCCGACGCCATTGCCGCCTCGCCGACTGTGGCGGGCGCCCCCGTGGACGTGTTTGCCCAGCGCGTGGCCGCGGCCAAGACGGCCGGCAGCATGGCGACGGACCTCGACAACGTCGGCCGGCGCTGGTTTGGCGAGGCGTGGCTGGCGGCCAACCCCACAGAGGCCCGGCGGATGCGCGCGTCCATGGACACGACCACCCTCGAGGGTCTGGAGGCATGTTGTGCAGCGCTGAGCAGCCCGTCGTTTGACCTGCGGCCTCTGTATCCGTCCGTCGGGAAAGGCGCCGACGAGGCACTGATTGTTGTCGGCGAAAAGGACGCCGACCTGCCGGTCAAGATGCAAGACATGCGGGCGGCCATCGAGACGAGCCTTGCGGCCAACGGAAAGACGACACCCGTGGCACTGGAGATTGTTGCCAATGCAGGACATGTGCCGTATGTGGACGGCTTTGATCAGTTTTGCGAGATTCTCAAGACGTTTTTGTGAGGGCGTGGGTGTTGCGAAGCACGTAGAGAGAGCAGATGGAAACACAAACAGCAGAATAGACGAATCGATGAATGGCATCACGATATCAGCGCACGTCACCGTTCACTGCACTTTGTCCACCACCGTCAACTCGATTGCTCTGTTGAATCTCGATACGATGCACTTGTTAAAACCCACTGTACGCTAGCACTGGAGTGCCGCAACACTGCCTAAGGCCCCTGTAGCGACTTACACGCACCAACCACGAGCCGCACCACACACCGTCAACAAATGCCATCCAGTCACTCCAACGTAGGAAGAAGCCATCCGATTTATTGTCTGTGCCTTGTTCGACGAGGTTTTCTGCACATGTTATTTTGCCGCGTTCCTGGCTGCCATGGAGGACGAATGGCGAGTGTAGGCTGATGCTGGTTTCCGACGGGACAAACTCCGGAGACAGGCATCCGCCCGCTAACACCACTGTAGCCACAGGCTGTGGTCAGCATTGTCGGGGCAGTGTCCGGGACGACGGCCAATATGTTGCTCCCACAAGCGAAGAGCGAGGAGGGCGGCGTCGTTGACTCTGCGTGCATCATCTGTTGAGGAGCCGTGTTGTTCGTCTTGTTTCATTTTGTCTCATCTAGATCGTCGTATATATCTCAGCTCCGGCATCGTTGTATTCGCATCATCTCATCGACTCCTTCACTCCCAACAAACCTTCAACACAACCCTCTTCTTTTTCTCAGCACTCCTCCTAGACCTCCTGCAACATGCCTCAAGCAGCTCGCTCTCTCAACGTGGTCGTCGTCGGCGCCGGCCTCGGCGGTCTGGCCGCCGGCTTGGCCCTGCAGACCGACGGCCACAAGGTCACCATCCTCGACGCCGCGCCCGAGTTCGCCGAGGCCGGCGCGGGCATCCGCATCCCGCCCAACTCATCGCGCCTGCTGATGCGCTGGGGCGTGGACCTGCAGCGTATGAAAAAGTCGACGTCCAACCGCTACCACTTCATCCGCTGGAAGGACGGCACGACCATCTTCGACCTGCCGTTCGACAACAACGTCGCCACGCACGGCTCGCCGTACTGGCTCGTGCACCGCGCGGACCTGCACGCGGCGCTGCTGGACGCGGCGCACAAGGCCGGCGTGCAGATCCTGACCAACAAGCGCGTCACCGCGTACGACATGGACGCGCCCTCGGCGACGACGGCCGACGGCGCCGTGTACACGGGCGACCTGGTCGTGGCCGCCGACGGCATCAAGTCCCTCTGCCGCCCGCTGCTGACGGGCCAGGCGGACAAGCCGCGCGACACGGGCGACGTAGCCTACCGCATCCTGATCCCCGCCGAGAAGCTACTGGCCGACCCGGAGCTGGCGCCGCTCATTCAGGAGCCGTGCACGACGTCGTGGTGCGGGCCCGACGCGCACCTGGTCGGCTACCCGATCCGCAACGAGGACACGTACAACATTGTCATGTGCGTGACGTCGTACAACGAGACGACCGACGAGGCCTGGGTCGTGCGCGGCGACAACTCGGAGCTCTGCCAGCGCTTCGCCCACTGGGAGCCCAAGGTCCAGAAGCTGTGCGCGCTGACGGGCGACTTTATGAAGTGGCGTTTGTGCGACCTGCCCAACCTGTCCCGCTGGGTGCACCCGGCCGGCAAGGTCGTGCTGCTCGGCGATTCGTGCCACCCGATGCTGCCGTACCTCGCGCAGGGCGCGGCGCAGGCGTTTGAGGACGCTGCCGTGCTGCGCCAGGTGCTGGCACTCGTCGGCGGCGTCGACGGCGGCGTCGACCTCAAGACAGCGCTGCAGCGCTACGAGGCCATCCGCATGCCGCGGGCCACGCTGGTGCAGGCGAAGACGCGCGAGCACCAGCACATCCTGCACGTCGACGACGGCCAGGAGCAGGCCACGCGCGACCAGGAGCTGGCGCTGGACGCCGCCGAGAATCCCGTCTTCTGGGGCCACACGGACCGCCGCAACTGGCTGTTTGGCCACGACGCCGAGATTATCACCACGCCGGGCGACAACTGGCGGGAGGGCCAGACAAGCGGCGTGGCGGCCCACTGACGTGGATCTGTGAGCTGTGTGCTGTTGTCATGGTGTCCTGTTGTACTCTTTGTCCTGTGTTATAGAAAGGCGTTGCTAGATTGGTTACTATCAGCCCAATATACCACCCGAAAAACTCATTGGGAATTTCCTTCTTTGGACGTGCACCTGTGCCGTCCCTGGCATGTGCTCCCCTGTGCTCACTGTGCTCACTGTGCCCGCTGTGCATGCTGTGCCTGCTGTATCTCTATGGCCGTTCTATCGCAAGCCGGCAGCCACAGAACCTTGTTCTCGACCACCATCTTGTAGTCTGAGAAGCATGGCTACGTGCATCTCGGAAAGCCGGAACTGTATGACTCCCAACTTTATCGGGGTGATATTAGATTGTCACTCATATCCCCTCGTATAAAGAGGCAGCCTATTCCTCTCATCTCTTTTGTTACCTCGGCCACCTGCCGCTCCTCTTCGTCTCTCTTACTTTCCTTTTATTACAATATTATTTGTTATAAGGACGTACTTATCCCGGAGGGTAAGAGGTGTCTGTTAAACGATTCGGTTCGGGGAGGGCTTGTTCTGGTAAAATAGTGATAAGGTGTAACAGTTGAGTCTTATCAATAGTATGAGGGAAGGGGTGATTGTATGTCCCGCGACTCTAGTGGGAGCCGTATGTCCCGTACAAGTCGACCGTGCAAGCCTAGTGGCCGCAAAAGTACTTGTCCCTAGCCTCCTTGTCGCCGATGCGCTCCCGAAACAAACGCAAGGCATAGAGGTCGTTCTCGAAGCTTGAGATGAAGTTGTCCATGTCCTCCCTCCAGTCTGCCGTCCCGCACGTGTTCAGGTGGGTACCCAGTGGGGCGCACGACTCGAAATCGATGAGCACGGGCTGGCCGTCGGCGCGGACCATGACGTTGCCGGGCTTGAGGTCGTTGTGGGCGAGACCGACCGAGTGCAGGTAGCGCACAGCGGCCTCGAGCCGCTTCAGGAAGATGGCAGGTTCGAGAAGGAGGGACCAGTTGTCTTCGTCTGGGTCGTAGTCGCTCATGCAGTGTGGGATCTTTTCGAGTACGATGCCCGTCATGCGCTTCTGCACGCGTTTGCGTGTCTGGCCGGCGTGCCCAGGGACGTCTTCTGTGGCGGCATTGTCCCCCAGCACCTCGATCACACGGCAGCCAAGGTAGCGCACAAAGTTGGGGGGCGGGTGCTTCCGGGCCAGCAACTCCAACATGCGCACCTCGTGGAGCCAGCGCTCACTGCAAGTTTTGGTATGGGTCGAGCCCACACACTTGTCGAAGAACTCCTTGATGACGACGGCGTCGTTGCGCAGCAAGCTCTGGGGAAGCGACACCGTCAGCGCCAGCGCAGCATCCTCGGCATTGGTCTCGGGGTCGTAGGGCAGCCCGAGCGTGGCTGGGTCGACCTTGACCGCTGGCCAGCGCCAGGGCTGGCCGTTGTCGCGGATGAGGAAGAACTCGCCGTTGCACGAGTAGTAGAAGATGACGCTGCCGTCGGACAGAAACGCCCCATTGCTGTTTATAAACAACGTGTTTGGGTCATCGGTGGCCGCAAGGAAGGTCTCCCGGATCTCCGACTCCCAGCAAGACCATTCGTGTTGTTGAGGAATGTACCTTGAGCCGAAGTCTCGGTTCTCTGTTACGGCAGCCGTAGGCCCGCGCTTGGGATGCTCACCGGCGGGGATACGATCGGTCGACGACAAGACGGCCATGTTCAGGTCCGCCTCGCCCATGTTCGGGCCGGTGACACCGTTCGTTTCGGTGACGCATTTGTCGGTGATGTTGACTCTATCCTCGACAGATTGGTTAGACATGTCCGTGTCGGCTAGAGCTTTTGTGAAAGATAAAACGAGTTAGCAACTGGCAGTTTTGTGAACGGTGTTATTCTTGGTTGCTTCCTACTCTCTTCGCGTGACAGACCTTGCTTCTTGGACTGGGAGCGCGTGATGGGGGCCATTTTGAAGATGTAAGGCAGTGGTTTCTAGGGGCGTGCGAAATAAGAATGTCTAGATGTTGTGTAAAAAGGAAATCGCGGTGGGAGAACAACTCGGGTATAAATGGTATTTACTCACAAGACAGTTGTGTCTGAAGCGGAAGGGAAAAGCACTGGGCACGACGAGATACAGGACGAGAAGAAAGAGAAACTCTGCCTTGATGGGATGGATGGTGGCCGGAACCGTCCAGGACCTAGAAAGCAGCCAGCAGTTGCTTTTACAACCCTGCGCCACTTAATCCCAAAATAAACACGAAAGAAACGTCTTTCACACACCCCCCTTTATTTTGTTCACAAACAGGGTCGTCTAAAACCAAACAAAAAAGGAACATGGCTGGGTGTAGGGACAAAGAAATGAGGGCTGGAGGGAGACACTAAAGGAACGGCCAGCACATGGTCTAGAAAAAAAGGGACTCACAAACAAACATCAAACGTACGGGTCGCTTTCCCCAACAAGAGGTGTCGCATTTAGTTAATACCAGGCGATGGAATACCAGGTATTCCCAAAAGGCCGTTACATTGAAAAGACGCCGAGCGCGGTGATTGGCCGGAACTTCACCTACACCGCACACTGGTTGGATCAGAACAGCCTTAAAAGTTAGGAGTTAGAATATCGTCAAGTGTTTTTCTGACGGTACCCTTTTCTGCCCCTCTGTTTCTTCCACTGGCGACGTCGTCCCGCTACTTCGACTGACTATATCTGCCATTTAAGTCTATGACCCAGTCCCCATACGCTATGCTCTACAACCTTAGCACGGCGCTCCTATAAATGGCAAAACACCGATGCCTAGCCAAGGTGGTGTATGAGGCGCCTGGCGCCGGCGACGGCGAGGGCGAGATGTACCAGACCACCGTCCGCTGCAACGGCCGCCTGTTCAACATCAATATGGCGACCACCTTTATCCACGACTCGCCGGCTATCTTGGCACGCCTTCAGCGCTTCCTTCTGGCACAGGGGGAGTTTGTGTACGGGGAGGAACCTGCGACCGAGGACGGACCCAGCGCAGAAGAGGAGAGGAACTCATTCCATCAATGGCTGATTGCCACCTTTCGACCCGTCTTCCGCGCTTACGCACCGGACGTGCTACCCTCATTCGACCCAGACGCGATCCGGTCCGGCACGGCTCGCCCTGTGTTGACAGAGTACATGTTTCCACAGGTCTTTGAATGCCGGCTGGAAGCACAGCACGGCAAGGCCAGACCACGTTGCATCGGCAAACAGGCAGATTGGATCCCATCAGTGAATCGAATTCCCGCCGATCTTCTTGCGGACCTCGACCGCCTGCGTGTGCCACGGTATGCGCCGTCGGAGATCGCCGTGGCCTTTGAAAACCCCGACGATGCGAAAGTGAGGACGAGGCCGAGAGCCAGAAATCGGGGCAAGAAGAAAGAAGTCTGAGCAAGCGGAGAAAAGTAAAGCCATAGGGAGAGAGTGGGTGAAGACGACATTCGTCTTCTAGAACAGATCCATAAAGCCAGACGCCTTTGTGGCGTCTGTCATCCATGTGTTGAGGTCGAGATCCTCGTTGAGCGGGTCGTGGCAGTTGTTGTCGAGGAACGTCTGTTGCAGTATGAGTGATGTGTGAAGACAATCATATTAAAAAAAATACGAGACCAGAAAACCAACCTACCCAGTTGATAAAATCGAGCCCGTCCACGTCGCTGTCGGTGGTCATGGCGTCGACAGACACGAACTGGCCGTCAGCGGCCGGGACGTCCATCTGCGGGGCCTGTCCGGCCTCCACGCGCGCGAGAGTCGCACCCAGTGCGTCGGCGGCAATGCGCGCTTCTGGGAATTGCGCACTGGGGGCGACCCAGATGGCATGCGCTGTCCGGAGAGCGGCGAGCCGACGGTTGTGGCCGTCATCCGTGCTTTGTCCGTGCTTGCTCGCCAGCGTCATGTCGAGGCACAAGACCATGGCGGCGAGGATAAAGTCGTTGACGGTCAGCGCCGAGATCATCCAACGGGCGTCGTGGAGGATGCCGCCGTGTTGGGTAGCGGCTGTCAGTTCGGCTTGGCGGTCGAGAACCGTGCAAGCGGCATCAAGGCAGGCCAAGCGGGAGGTGGAGACGAATGATGTTGTCGACATTGTCGTTGATGACGATGACGACTGCTTGTAGTACTGTGGAATGTAGTTTCTGTGCAGCACAATCAGGCTCTTCAGGTACAGCATCTCAATCGTCATCCGGTTCATAATGATGGGCGGGCTGTCGATGAGCGACGCCGCCAGCGGCCGGTACTGGAAGTGCGCGGGCAGTTCAGCGTACGCCCTTCGCAGCCGGGCATCCAACGCACGCGTGTCTTCGTACGGCCGCGGCGCCAGCGACCGCGTGTGTGCCACAACCGCCTGGAAGCACGCCATGACGCTCGACTTGACGATGGTGTACAGGATCGTCGTGTTGTCGGACACGGGCCGCGAGGATGGCAGCTCCGCCATGTCGGGCCGCAAGTCGGTGAACTCGAGGTTCCGCGGCAGCGCCGTGTCGCAGTCGGCCATGGGGATCATGCTCGGCAGGCCGACCTGGAAGGACGTGAGCGCGTCCACCTGCACAATGGCCACCCAGATACGGCGGCGCATCTCGCCGGCAAAGGGCGACAGCCGGGTTGCCTGCAGCTTGGACGGGTCACGGTGGTAGCCGCGGCGCACGGCCAGCCGGATCACCATGCCAATCAGGTACCAGACGTTGGACGCCGTGGCGGCACCGCGCGGCCGGTAGTCGGCGACGTAAAAGTAGTGGCTTTGGAGCAGCAGGATCATGGCCTCGAGGCTGTGGGCGTCGACGTCGGCGTAGTGGCCCAGCACGAGATACTGGCGCGCCTTGTCGGCCATGGCTTCGGGAGAGGGCGTGTCGGTGTCGACATTGTTGCCGCCTGTGTGGGCCATGAGATGTAGGCCAGCCGATACGGCCAAGACGGAAAAGAGCAAGGCGATCCAGAGGGGTGGTGCTTGAGTCGGAGCCTCCCAGAACGCGGCATACTGTGTGGTGGTCAATATAGAGGGTAGAGTATAGTGTTGTGGAGAAGATTGGTTGCGGACTTGCCTCTTTTTGAAATTCGATCGGATGCAGGATGGCTGGTTAAGCGAGTCAGGATAAAGTCAATAAAATCGACGACGTTCGCAATTCAAAAACCCCACTCACGCAAAACAGAATGGCCGACGCGGAAATAATGCGAGATGAGACGGTCACAGACAGCTCGAGGCGGCAGGGACTTTAGCAGCTCCTCGGAACCAACAGACGGCTGCGGAAACACGAGGTCCGCATAGCTGTCGTCGGGTGTTTCCAAGGCCGGTTGAGCTGTGTCGGTGTGCATCGAAGGGGACGGGTTGGTCAGAGACAAGGAAGCCAATGACTCCGGCTGCTGGTCTCTTTCGACGGGCGATGACAGCTGCTGGCGTAGTTCTTTGATCTCTTCCAGGAGAGACGACCAGTGGCTGGCATCGATGTATGTAGTGTGGCCGATGTCGAGCTGTCCACCGCCGAGCGACGGGCGCTCTGAAAATGCGGTGATGGATGTTTCGGGAGTGACAGGATTGCCGCTGTCGACTGGAACCTGAAGCTCGTCCGAGAGCGGCGTATTGACCGAATTGTCGACCGAGTCACCAGCAGACATGGACGCGTCGACGGCACCGTCGTCCAAGTGGCGTGACAAGTCGTGTGGCAGCGCCGCCTGGTCACCGACCGACTTACCGGCAGAGCCTCCGGCCATTTGCAGAATCATATCCTCGAGCCGCTGGAGACGGCCCGTCACCGACCGGGAACTGCTTCCACTGCCACCACCACTCTTCGCGGCCGCATCCCGCCTCTCACTCCGGTCTGCATTCGCCGCATACAGGCAGAACGCCGCCTTGTCGCGGCGCGTGCACGCATCGCACGGCTGTTCGCGGTTGCATTTGAGTCTGTTGGTCAGCAACGGCCGTCGAAAGGAAGTATATTCGGTCGAGCAGGAGAGAGGAAGCTCACTTTCGTAGACGACACGGCTCGCACGACTTGGGCGGCCGATTCCGCTTTTCGACTTTGGACTCGGCCATTCTCGCAGATCGTACTCTGCGAGTGCACAATATAACTTTGCTGGCGTCAACATTGTTGTTTGTCCCAGGCGCAGAATGGAGTTAATAACTCCGCGCGGTCCACGCTGCACGTGATGCGACAACGCTGCAAAACGACAATTGTGGGTCCCAAACTCCGGGATCCACTCTGCGGCGATACCATCTCCGCTCACTTACACGACGGTCCGAGAGGGCAATCCGCCTTTGAACGACCCCCGATCGAGTATTTAAGATGAGCTGCGACAGCAAGATGACAGCCAATATGTACCAACCCGACATCTGTATCATTATTCGTTTTATATTCACATTCACACGCATCCCTTGTTCTCTCCTTTCCATCCCGTCTCTACTAAACACATCTCCGTCAAAAACATCTCCATTAAATACACCTCTCGACATCCACACCATGTCCGCTCTCTCGGCGACCCACGGCATTATGCAGGCCATCTTCTCGAATCTATTCGTGACACTCCCCGTCCCCGAAAAGGCCCCCGGTCTGTCTGAAAAGACATTCATCGTCACGGGCGCCAACCAGGGCCTCGGCCTCGAGGCCTGCAAGCACCTCCTGCGCGTCGGAATCGGCAGGCTGGTTATGGGCGTGCGGAGTCTCGACAAGGGCGAGGCTGCGCGGAAGGAGCTGTTGGCCGAGTCGGGGCGGGCGCCCGAGACAATCGAGGTGTGGCAGGTGGACATGGCGTCGTATGCGTCGGTCGAGGCCTTTGCCACGCGCGCCAACGGCCTCGCTCGCCTCGACGGCGTCTTGGCCAACGCCGGCATGATGACCACCACGTTCCGGCGCGCCGAGGACGGCGAGGCGACCATTGTCGTCAACGTCGTGGCGACCTACCTGTTGCTGGTCCTCCTGCTCCCCAAACTGCGCGCATCGCCAGCCGGCCGAGCCACGTTTACCGTCCCCAACTCGTCGCTGCACTACATGGCCTCGACCAGGGAGATTCTCCCGCTTTCTGTAAAAAAGGACGGCAAGACCATCTTTGAGCGGCTCGCCGACAAGTCCACGTCGGACATGAAGGACCGCTACAACGTCAGCAAGCTCTTGGTCGTGTTTGCCACCCGCGCGTTCGATGCCCACCTCAAGCAGCGGTCGGGCCTCCAGGGCGGCGGCCGCGTCATCGTCAACACGCCCAACCCGAGCTACTGCAAGTCCCAGCTGCTGCGCGACACGGACCAGACCCCGCCGCCCGACTGGATGGCCCGCACGCCCGAGATGGGCAGCCGTGCCCTCGTGCACGGCCTGCTCGCCGGGCCCGAGACCAGCGGCCAGTTTCTCAACAACTGCCACGTGCTGGCGCCGGCCTCGTTCGTGACCAACAAGACGGGCGCCAAGATCGAGGCCGCTTTTTACGAGGAGCTCATCCAGAAGCTGGACAGCATTGTGCCGGGCGTCTCAAAGAATATCTAGCTGGTCTGATGGGGGGTCGTGGTGTGTTTTGTTTATTTAAAGGTGATTTATTGTGGTGTCGTCGATTTACTTTGGATTTCTGGATTTACTACCATACTCATGTCTCATGTTTAATTATTCTATTCGGACTGGGTCTGTCTGGTATAGGTGAGGTCCTTTTTTAAAAGAGAATTATTAAGAATTTTTTTTTTTAAATTTTTTTTAAAAAAAATCCATTAAATTCAACCATAACGCGACGGAGCAGAATGAATTAAACAATACTCTCTGTAAACATTTCAGTCGCGTCGAGTTAGATAACTTTCCTTTCCCTCTTCCTTGGGTGTCTTGGTCGTCCAACGACTTCGTTCGGCATTGCAGCGTTGATCGGACTTTCGTTGGTGGAATATGTCCCTATCGATATTTCGTACATTATTCAATTACCCAATAAATAAACCCTGTTTAGTGGCAGTTTTGCCGATGCTAACTACGCAAGTCGCTTAGCGTCCTTTTAGCAGACCCATTTGCCTCCCCCTGTTCTTGGGCGTTCCAAAGTCACTTTTGACTTTCTTAGTTCCTTTCCATGATCGCGAGAATACAAAATGACCGATTCCAACTACCACATTGGACTTTCTTCCCAATGTGGTGTATGTGCTGATTTGATAGTGCGGCACGAAAGGGTAGTAGCACGTACGAGAATTCCCTTTGCGAAAGCCTTCCCCCCAACCTGACCTTTGGCTTCCGTTTTCCTCATGTTTAAACGGAGGGCAGCCTCGCCGCTGCTCTCCCGGTCCTGATTTGTTTTCGTTACTGACCACGTGATAGTCTTTGGCAACCACGACTCGACGGCCTACCGCGGCTGTACCCGTCCATTTGCCTTTCCGCATTCGGGCCACATTATCACAAAGGTCGACGGCCTTCGGCTGTGCCGCTTCGCGGATTGCAAGACGTGTTCTCTGTCGCCAGAATACGTCCCTATCCACTATGAATGCTACGAGATTTTTCGGGCGAGCTGCTCTGTCAAAGGCACCGATGCGCTTCACCGGTTATGGGTCGTAGCGGCATGGAAACGGCCGTGGCGGAAAGCGCAGCCGATCCGCCTGCGCGGCACAGTCGATGTCGGTGTGCTACGAATGGTTGCCCACCGCGCCAGGCTGCCATTGTTGGCGAAACTACCCGCTGAGGTAATTGACATGATCTACGGCCACTCTCCACATGCCCTGCTCTGGCGGTGTGTTTCGGCAACGTCGCTAGCCATGCAGGTGTCGGCTACGGAGCCACAACCGCTGTCGATGATCCCCCTGGGCGACGTACTGTCGTGGGAGCGTCACGGACAACTGAAATATGCAGGACACACATGGACAACGATGCATGCGTCTCTGCTTCTGCGGCTGCCCATCCGTTCCGACGGCATAAGCAAGGTGGAACGGCTCTCGTCCCTGCCACAGCCAGAGGCTCGGAACTCTCCTACCTCCGCCTTCGTCATTGTACGCGTCAAGTTTATAGACGGAGTTGTATTGCAACTCCAGGTACGTCATGACGATGCCGGTTATCTTTGGATGTATTAATTCTAACGTGCCTTTTACGATGGTCTTGTCCGCCTGCATTTCCCTCTCGGGCAACGGACGTTCCCTGTCTGGAATACGCCGTCTCCGCCAGACCTCTCCTCTTGCTGCATCCATTCTATTAAATTGTCGAATTCCTGGCAACGTTTCTACGCTGTCGACATGGACCGCGTCCAAGGCGTCACATTTTTTTTCTCGGGTGCTCGACTTTTCGGCATTCACAGCCACGTCTCCGAAGGCGCATCTGCACTGTCCACCTACGAAGGCATCCCCACCGGCTGTCGACGCGGAATGGTTTGGATTTATCTGCCGATGCCTAGAAGCGACCAGCTGCTGGTTCTTGGCGTCCGGGCAAAATCGTCTTCGTCTCCGTGCGTAAATATTCTTATTCGGACTCGCCTCGCTGGCGACGTCGTCATCGGACAGCATAGCCCTGGTGGCGTAAAGGACCGGTGCCTGGGCCGATCGGCGCCTATTACTCTCATTTGCGGCGAGTCAAAAGTGGGATTCCCGGTGCCGCACTTTGGCGCGTATTGCCAGTTCTCTGCCGATGCGCGTCTTCCTGAGCCGTTTCCCTTAGCAACGTCCTACCATTCCCTGATTGGCAGCGATGCGTACTTCTCCTGGGCCTCTCTCAGTGGCATAACGTCGGCCCTGACATACTACGACTCAAAAACAGGCTTTTGCAGGGGTATTTTGTTGCAATACGACAATGGAGGGGCTAGAACACTCGGTCAATGTCGCCGGCAGGTAGATCCAGCCGAGGAAGTGTACAAAACGCGAATGCTCTGCTGGCGAACCGAGATGTACCGCTCGCAACGGCAGCGAATGGTACACCGCACGCAGGTCCGCTTCCAGCACGACCCGCAACACGAACACGACAATAAATGGAAATGCCATGCGCTGGAAGGCGTTCTTCATTTCTGGTTTACGGACGAGGCAACGTTTCTAGTGGTAATCAACTAACAACTAACCAGCCGAAAGAGACCATGGCAGTCACTGAACGTCTTCTCAGCGTCCAATGTTGCAGTCTTTCAGCAACCGGAATTAGCCGAGTCTTTGTTCAGTAGTACTGTGACTTACTGTGGCGATACACCCAACAGCTTAGCTGGTTGCAACCAATCATCATTGACGTCCCTGCAAATCACGGCCCGGCCCTGGGGGCCAGGCACAGGCGCTAAGCAGGCCTGCACAGGTGCGCACGCCTGTACCGCCTGCGCCACAGCAAATAAAGGCACGGTTTATAAATATATAGCTCTAAGCATACGGCTTCGTCTATTAACAAGGGAACCAAAATGTAGAAACACTCTTTAGAGGAGGAGGCCGTAAGCATGTCCTAGGAAGTGTATAAATGTTTATAAATACGGCACTGTCCCGTACTGGAGGCTCTTTGGAGTTCCTTCTTTCGATTAAGACTGTCTGGTGTGCCTTTGTTATTCTGAATTCACTGTGACAGAAAGCCGTCTTGAGTATTAGCCGAAGTTTGCGTTCTCACAGTTCAACCTGGGGCCGAAGAGCAGCTCATCCGGAGATATCATCGCCTTTGCTTTGGAAAACAGGCATCCTAATCGGTCGACAATCGACTCCAACCCCGTCCGGAGGCAGCTGAAGCCAAAGCCTAAATGTTGCCCACGAATAAAAGCTCGTTCGTGTTCTAAGGCGTGTTTTAAAGCAACCCAAGCTTTCCACCTCCAGCTTGATGCGACTACCTGCTGCTTTTACGTCGTATATCTAACTCTTTTAATGTGATTTGATTCTTCACATGAGCATCGCGGTGTCGACGCCGTTTATCAAATATGTGCGCGATATGGAGTTCATCAGGGTTCAGTACAGTCGGGTACTTCGGTTCCAGAGAATGGGAAGAAAATTTGCAAGGGGAACTGCCCATCCTGCCGCATTCGTCACTCACAAGACAATCAGGCGCCGGTCGACCTGTGGCTGTGCAGGAAAGTGCAGGAAAGTGCGGTAAGTGCCATCGCTGCCTGACTTGATTCTTTGCCAGCGGATTGGACTCATACTCTCAGCCGCAATATTTGTTTATGCCAGGCAGACACTTGCGCTACTGTTCAGCCTTGCCAATGCTTGCTTCTCCTCTTTTTCTCATCTTTTCCGCCACGTCATTTTTTCTTCCTTCTTCAACGTTTTCAAACATGCTAACTTTACTGTCAGCCCATCAGTGTTCCACCTTCTTCTCAAGTTCAATTTAACCGAATTATTTTGTTCCTTTTTTGGTGACGTTGCGATTTTCCCTTCCGCCTCATTCTGTCAATGCCATTATGGACGCCGCTGCCAGTGTGATCGCTGTGGTCCAGATCACAGAGCAGATCTTGACCCTCTGCTACACGTATGCCAAAGGAGTCAAAGATGCACCAGCCGACATCGAACGCTTGAAAAGAGAGCTTAAGGACCTCAATGCGGTTCTCAATGGGGCAGAAGAACTCCTCAAAGGTCCTCACAAGGAAAAGCTCAGCACATCACAGAAACTGTCTACGAGTCTTAAGGAATGCACGGCCGAACTGGAGACGCTGTCCTTAAAATTGGTGACAAAGTCTGGAGACTTGCACCAACACTGGTTCAGCCGTAGTCGCTTGAAATGGCCACTCGAAAAAGAGGAGGTTAACAAGACAATCGAGTCTCTTCACAGACACCGAGCCAACTTCAACACGAGCTTGACAATCAACCAAGCGTAAGTAGTAACGCCTCGTGGTTGATTTATGAGAAACACATCCTTACGCTAAGCCCAATAGAGCCATACTCTTGGACAGCTTCGAGCGCATCGAGGATGATGAGCGGAATCGGATCCTCGATTGGATGTCGCCGATCCAGTATGGCGAACACCACGACACGGTCCGGGACAAGAGAACTCCCGATACATGTGAATGGTTGATACAAAGAGAGACGTTTCGGCAGTGGGAGGACAAAAACACGGCCCTCATCATGTGGCTTTCTGGTTCTCGTACGTATTTCTATCTGCCACTTCCAATACCCCCATTCTTCCGTTGTCATCTTTTTCTCACCTGCCTTATTCCAGCTGGTACCGGCAAAACGTTCCTCACTTCACGTGTCATCGATCGCATTCAAAGTAGACTAGACGCCGGGACCAAGACGAAAGAAGGATTTGCATTTTTCTACTGCAATCGGAACGAAGACATACGGCGAAACCCACTCTCCGTATTCCAGAGCTATGCGCGACAACTGGCAGCCGTTGCAGGACAGCCCAAGCTGGTGCAGAAGCAACTCCGTAGTCTCTGGCAAGAATCACGGACCAAAGCCCAAAAGTTTGGTATGGAGTCTTGCAAAACCCAGATTCTAGCCTCCATTAACCTCTACGACAGGACAACCCTTGTGCTGGATGCCCTGGACGAATGCGAGCTCGCGTCTCGCATTGTTGTCATGGACACAATCAAGCTTCTGTTGTCGCGAGCCACAAAACCCTTGTATGTGTTTGTGTCGAGTCGGCCGGAGAACCACATTCGAAAGTTCTTTCACCACATGCCTAACGTTGAGATCCAGGCGACCGACAACAGCGAGGACATCAAGAAGTTTGTGCATGCAGAGGTTGTCCGGCACCCAAACTGGCACGACATGCCTACGGAATTGCGTGACGACATTGAAAGAACGATCCTGACGCAGAGCCAGGGGATGTAAGTAAAGCCCACCTCGATCTTTTTGTTTTTTTTTTTTTTTTTTNTTTTTTTTTTGTTTATTCATTGTCTTAGCCCCATACTAATGCTGTCCTAGGTTTCAATGGGCATATCTACAGATCAACCAGATTCTCGGTCTTCAAACACAAGCTGCTATCAGAAACCGACTTGGAAAACTGCCCATCGGTCTCAAGAGCACGTACGATGAAATCTACAATCAGATCTCGTCTGGCGACGACCACGACAAAGCAATTGCAGAGCGTGCTTTCATGTGGGTTGCATGCGCCATCAAGCCTTTAAGCGACAAAGTACTTCTCGAGGCCGTTCGCTTCGACCCGGAAAATATAACAAACCCATCTGAAGCAGTCGATCGGACGGGTCTTTTCAACCTCTGCAAAAATTTTCTTGTCTTCGACAGGCGGCTGAACAGTTGGAGATTCTCGCATTTGTCGGTGACTGAGTATTTCGAGAAGTATCACTGGACACTTGTGAAGGCCCATTGCCACGTTGCAAAAGTTTGTCTCTCTCTTCTCATCGAAACACATGACAACACGCAAATAGTGGAACCGCACGATCTAGTTACAAGTTGGCCCCTACACCCATTTTATGAGGCTTTTCAATTTTACTACGATGAGAATTGGATCCGTCATGTCCAAACGCAAGAAGGACAGGCGCAAGACCCTGGCCTGACTCGCCTTTTAAAAACATTTTTGGGGTCTCCAACGGAGAGCAGCCAGCAATATTGGCAGTGGTATCGCCGAGCCATTGGCATCCATAACCCGGGAGATTACGTTTGGTGTGCAGCACTGGATAATGTCAAACCCGTGAGACGTACCATCTTTTCGATATGCCGGTTCTCCATGTTCACTGTGTTGGAAGACTGGTGGAATACTGGCGATCTGCCACTATCGGAGAAGAACAACGGGGGCGAAACTGCCCTAACACTTGCTGCAATGTCCGGTCACGCGCCTATGTGCAAAGCCATCGTGAACAGGGGAGTTGACGTGAACCAGCAGGCCGGGGAACATGGAAGTGCCCTTGCTACGGCCGCGTTCACCGGAAACGTGGAAGTTGTCCAATGCTTGATCGACTTGGGTGCCATTGTCGATTTGCAGCTTGAAGTCGGGGAATGCGGTAGTGCCCTTGCAGTAGCCGCTGCTTCTGGTAGCTATAGAGTCGTCCGGTGCTTATACGACAACGGCGCCGACGTGAACATGCTACTCTACAACGGCCAATATGGAAGCGCCTTGGCCGCTGCTGCATTTCTTAGGCGCGTGGATGTGATGCACTTCTTGGTCGATAAAGGTGCCAAAGTAGACATGCTTCTAAAATGCGGCGGATATGGGTCCGCTTTGATTGCTTCTGTCGCAGGGTTCTGGCGCCCTAAAGTTGCACTTCATCAGCCACTGGTAGACTACGGAGCGAACGTTAACTTACTCCCGGAGGTCGGCCGTTACGGTAGCCCCCTCGTCGCTGCTGCGTCGATTGGTAGCCTAGACAAGTTGACGTACTTGGTCAAAAAGGGCGCCGTTCTTGATCAGCAGTTACGGTGTGGCCGATACGGAAGTCCGTTGTGTGCTGCTGTGGCGGCGAACAAGAAAAAGATTGTCACATATTTGGTAAATCAGGGCGCCGATGTCAACTTTCTGCCCAAGGTTGGACAACTCGGCAGCGCTTTGGCTGTTGCTGCCCTGTTGTGCTCGGGTGAATGCGTGGAGTTTTTGCTTCGGAAAGGAGCCGATGCCAATCTCAGGCTACTAACGGGTAAATACAAGACGGCTATAGAGGCTGCTGAGGCGATGATCTCTAAGGAGGATCGCTTGATGTGGTCTCCTGGCCTGTACTTTACAGGATGGGAGGTGGATAATGATAACGTGCGGATACTTAAGCTACTCCGCGAGCATGTTGTAAAAAGTTAAAGGGCAGGTGGTTTCTAAGCATTAAGATCTTATACGTAATAAAATTTTTATATAATTCTCAATGCTTTATCCGGCACTATAATATATATTTATAAATCCCTTAATAGTAACGTTTTAATATAATTAAGTAGTTTTCAAACGAAGACCATGGCAGGAATTACGGTCTCACTACTGGTTTTTACACAGTCATTATCCTGGTGTGCTGAAACAATCATAAAGACAGAGGTCGACTGGACGGCCAGATGGTTCCTTATGTTGATGGCAACCGCTTGAATCTTAGTGTGTATCGACGCTGCCCAGAGGCTGGTTCGTGGTCTTAAAATTGTGTATTTCTCTTGCGCATATCGTAGATGATTTCCCCTCCGTGTACACCCGGGGAACGGAAAGCGATCTCAGCGTGACTGAAATTACCAGAAAACAGCGCAGTAATAGGCAGAAACCGAGGAGCAACATTCGAGGGTATAATATATGGCACAATACTTATATTCATGTGGATATCATTCCTTTCTCGTCTCCACCACTGCTACCGCCACTCTGCCTTACGAACCGTCAGCTACTGCGATGCCGCCCACTCCTTCTCCAGTGCCTCGCGGCGGCTGGTGCTCTGCGGGTCGATGTAGGGCTTCTCGCCGAGGCTGACGGCGCGGCTGCCCGAGCGCTCGCCGAGGCCGTGCTCGTAGAGGTAGTCGGGGGTAGCGGCGTGGTAGACGCTGCGGTTGTCCCAGATGGCGAGGTCGTTGACGTCCTGCCAGCGCAGGCGCACCTGGAGGTCGTGGTTGTCGACGATGAGCTGGTTGAACCAGCCGAGGAAGTGCTGGCTCTCGGCGTCCGACAGGCCGTGGATGCGCTGGACGTGGTGGCCGACAGCAAAGACGGACTTCCAGCCGGTGACGGGGTTGGTGCGGACGACGGGGTGGACGGCCTCGAGGACGCTGCCGACGTTCTCAGGGGCGCCGCGCGGCGCCGCGTAGAGCTCGAAGCCGTTGCGGGCGGCCGACGCCTCGAAGCCGGGCTGCGCGTAGTAGGCGGTCAGGGTGTCCAAGAAGGCGCGCAGCGTCGGCGAGATGCGGTCGTAGAGCTCATAGCCCGAGGCCCAGAGCGTGTCGCCGCCGGTCGCGGGCAGCTTGGTCAGACGCAGCAGCGCGTAGTCGCTGGGGATGGGCTCAAAGGTAATGTCCGAGTGCCACTGGTCGCGGCCGCTCTGGCGCTTGGAGCTGAAGGCGCCGACGGGCTGCTGGAAGCGGTCCTGGAACAGCTTCTTGGCCTGCACCGACGAGATGACGGAGATCTCGTCGTCGTGGTCGCCCTTGTCGGCGACGTCCCGGGCCGCGTCCTGGCGCACGCCGGCGTTGTTGATCGGGTGGATGTGCAGCTTGGACGTCGCCGGCTTGCCCGACAGCTCGCCCAGCCGCTGCACCAGCTCCTTCTGGACCGCGTCCGTCACGTTGTCCTGCTTGCGGAAGAAGACGACGCCGCGCTGCGAGATGGTAATGGCCAGGTCGCGCAGCAGCTCGTCCGCGTTGGGCGCGCGCAGCCACGCGGCCAGGTCGACGTCGGGGCCGGCAAACTCGCGGCCAATCACGGGCGTCACGTCAAACGACTTGAACTGGTCGAGCGCGCCGCTGAGCTTGAGGGCCTCCTTGTGGCCGGTGAAGAGGGCCGGCCGTTCCGTGTTGGGGTCGCTGCCGTTGTCGAGTTTCGGCTGGCTGGGGGCCTCGGTCTTGGCAGGGACAGCCTTGGTCGCAGCCGGGACCTCGGCAGGGGTGGGTTGGACGTCGACGGCAGAGGGGGACATTGTGTGTGATGTGGTGATGCGATGTAGGTGTGGGGTGTGGACTTTGCGTTTCGTTACTCTGCAGCATCATGGAGGGACACACACCTGAATATATAGACTTGCAGCATTCGCTACATTGCAACATCGCTACAGGAGCTGACAGTATGGTGAGTCGCGGACGCTCGCGGAGGAAGTCACGCAATGGCCCAAACGGGCACCATTGGTTACGACAGGTGGGTGTGGCAGCATGACAGATGTAAATACGTTGTAAAGTCAGATAAGTGCGAGAACAAGCGGCCGACGATTCGGTGCCGACACGGGTCGCGTGTCGCAGGTCACAACGTGTCACGAAGCGTCGCAATTGTCGCAAGTCCAGTATGGTGACAGAACTGCTTGGATTGACGTGCAGATGGGTGTGTGTTTACAGCTAGTGATCGACCAGCCAAGTGCCTGGATTACATCCGCCGTCCCTCGTTTGCAGCCCACACTAGCTGTGCATGATGTGATTTTAGCGGCGATTAAGACACAACGAGACCACCTCCAGTCTCAACGATGAAGCCAATGGCACAAATTTGCGACGAAGGTCATTGACTGTGCGAGTCATGATATTTGTTGAAACGATAACAATAGAATGTGCTTTATTTGTCCACCCAGATAATGAGATAGCATCTAAATCAAACAATCTTCCTGACCTACACCTTCTTATCCACCGACTCGGGAATCTCCGACTTGTCAGACGCCTCCTGGCTGGCCGTCTCGCCCTCAATGATATCGACAACAGAAACGCTTGTCTCGTTCGCCTCCCTTGCCAGCGCCTCAAACGCCATGTTGCGCTCGCGCGGCGCGTATTCGCCGACAAATGACAGGGCAAAGTACATGACACTCGCAATGGTCACGGCATAGAACCAGCTGAACTGGTACAGGTGGTGCCAGCCGGCCGCGCCCGCCAGCGTGTGGCCAAACTGCGCCGCGAAGCCGGGCACGACAAAGGCCACGGCCACCACCCAGGCCGCCAGGGCGCGCCAGTGGATGCCGCCGGTGTACCAATAGGCGCCGCCGGGGGCGTAGAGGGACGGGACGTCGATGTTGCCGCGGCGGAGGACAAAGTAGTCGGTGACAAAGATGCCCAAAAAGGGGCCCAGGAAAATGGAGTAGCCGCCGAGAAACGTCAGGAAGCCCGAGGCCGAGGCCAGGATGTACCAGGGATTGATGGCGACGCTCAGCACGTAGGCGACCCACATGCCGCGGTTGATGTTGAGCCAGCGCGGGAACAGCGTCATAAAGTCGGCGCCAAAGGGCGCGATGTTGGCGCCGATGTCCGTGACGGCGTTGGAGTACATGAAGAAGCCGTTGGCAAAGAACAGCGCGGCTCGGGCGCCGGGGCCCCAGCGGTGGTCGAGGATGTCGTGCGAGAGCGTCCAGGGGTTCCAGTCGAGGTGGCCCCAGCGGTTGTGGATGGCGTTGGTGGCAAAGATGCCGAGCGTGGCGCCCACGGTGTTGCACACGGGCAGGCTCACGAGCTGCGACAGCACGGCGGACCGGCGCCGCGCGTAGCGCGCAATGTCCGGCTGGTTGACGACGAGCGTGGACGTCTTGCCCATGATGGCGTTGATGCCGGCGACCATGGCCCAGCCCAGGTCGGGCCCGTAGATGCCGCCGACCGTCGACAGGTTCGTCTGCGGCGCGCCGCGGCCCTCGACCATGCAGTAGATGAACAGGCCACCGATGACAAAGGGCATGAGGAGGGAGTTGATCTCGACGTGGCGGCGGAACTTGGGCAGCGGCACCATGAGCAGCGGGAAGGTGAGGATCCAGTAGACGAGCAGGCCGATGAACAGCGGCAGGGTAATGCCCGCGCTGGCCGGGATGGTATTGTGCATGTTCCAGTAGCTGTCGCCGAAGATGCACCGCAAGACGACGGCCGTGTGGTAGCCGCCCTGGACGATGGACACGCCGGTCCAGATGAGGGCGGTCAGGACGCGGAGGACGACGGGGAAGTAGGAGCCGCGGAGGCCGAAGGTGACGCGGGCTTCGACGGGGAAGCCGATGTGGTAGACGGCGGCGACGCGGGAGTGGAGGACGACGCCGATGCCGCCGAACAAATAGCTGTTGTGAGCGGTCAGGAAGCGAAGCGAGGAAAATAAGGAAAGCGAACGAAGACAGAGAGGGAAGCGAGCGCAGCGAGGACCAGAAAAGACGACTTACCCTACGAAAAGACAGATGACGGCCTGCCACGGCTTGAGGCCGACACTGATGAGCGCACTTCCTACACTCCAGGTGCCCGGCGAGATGCCATACGACGCCCAGAAGCCGGCATAGTCCAAGAGGGTCCACGTACGGTGCGCGGGCGGGCTGACGTCCAGGTCTTCATTCTTCCAGCGGCTGCGCTCCGTCTCGCCGTCTGCGTTGTCCGTGCGCGTCTCGAGGGCCTTGACAAACGCTTGGCGGGATGAGAAGGCATGCACAAACGCCCTTTTCTTTGCGGCAAAGGCCATGATGCGAGCTGTGGGTGGAGAGCGTTATTCGTGGTATGGAAGGCAGGTTGCGGGACGCTGGGCAGAAACTACGTGTGGATTGTGATGTTCACTTGATGCCATATTTAACACGGATCGGAATGGGGAGTCTGTCTATGACTGGCCCAAGTCCCGATCATCCAAACCGTACATTGCGAAAAGATACGCTGGCCGGATGCGACGACGTAAATACTAAACTCGATATCATCCTGGGCCGATAAGTGATGTCCTCCCATATATCGGCCGAGATGCGTTGTGCAGACACTCCGGTTCTCGAAATGGATAGGAAGCTGGATAGGAAGCTGGATAGCCGGTACCGGCACTGTGCCCGCCGTGAGAGATAACGATATGTCGTACGACACAAGGCGCATATCGACTGCCAGCGGCCATCCAAAGACGAGGCCCAGAGCATGAGTCCGTGTAAGTGAAAAGTGGGGCAGTGGAGACGCGGAGGTACCCGCAAGAGACGTACTGATAAGACCGGCAGCGTCCAGCCGTGCCTGTGAGTCTTTCCCGCGTAATCTGTATCGCATACCAAGCACGAATGTACTTACTTTTATATCCGCTGCCCGGCCGAGCTGCGGATACCCTGCTGCGACTGTCCCTCACCATCGGCCATGCTGCATCGCTTCGACCACTATTACGCAAATGTCGGCCGCTAGCAGCCGGACGCGGACGGCCTGCGCGTCTTGCACGCGGCGCAAGGTGCGCTGTTCCAAGACGATTCCATGCGAGACATGCATTCGGAGGTGAGACCTGTCTGAGATGTGCAATGACAGGGACAGCTACCAACCATTGACTGCTGACGGCCACCGTTGCTACCAGAGGCGAACAAGACTCGTGCGGACCAGACCAGCTGGTGCCGTCTCCGGTACTCGCAACACCGACCACGATGCAACGTGACACCATACCGAGTGAGCTTGCATTTCTGCGGCGACGCATCCGCGAGCTTGAACGTCAATCATGTCGACGGCCGGCGGAGGGAGACGGTTTGGACAAGCATCCTCGACAACAGACGCAAGACCGTCATTTGTCACCTCTGCTTGACGATGCCGTTGTGGACGATACAGAAGACGTGGACAACGAAGAAGGCAGTCAACACAGTGTGGCCGATCAGGACAGGGAGAATGACGGCTCCTTCGTGGAGAAGCCCCGCCATCCGGGCAAGCGACGGGACACGAGCGACACCGTCATCAAAGACGCCGCGTCCATTCTGGAGTTTCTCGCGTGGGGCCGCCGCAAAGACCCAGAACACCATCCTGTAAGCACGGGTGGCCACAGTATCGTTGGTGATGGGAGTACGACAGCCGTTGATACGGCCACGATTACTGTGCTAGACGAGGCCGACACGCTCCACACACCATATGGTGAATTCGGCAGCCAGTCCGACCCTATGCAAGAATTAAACATGGACGCCAACGACAGCGCCGACAGCGATAACCCGTTCAGTGGCAGCCATCCGCACAGCTCGCACAATCCCTTGGCCGTCATGCAGCTGCTTCTCCCGAGTCGTCGCCAGGTCGAGCAGCTGGTCGATTACCACATCGAGTGCCTGCTCTGGTACCACGCCTCGTTTCTGGCGCCGCGCTTCCGTGCAGACTTGGCGTCCTTTTACGACCGTTTCGGAGGGCATGTCGATGCCGTCGAGGCGAACCGTGGCGTCGCCGGTCTCGACCTGCAATGGGTGGCGCTTCTCTTTGCCGTTCTGTCCGGCAGCCTGACCTGCGCGCCAACTGCCCGAGCTGCGGCCTGGGGCTTTCTGGGAACCGAACGCCCCGCGCTCTGCAAACACTGGTTCCAAGCCGCGCTGGCCTGCCTCGCGCGTGCCCCGTACATGGCCCATCACAGCGTCCGCTCCTGCCAGGCCATTGCCACCATGACCATCTCGGCGCACATTCTCGGCTTCTCCAACACGCAGAGCATTCAGCTGGCGGCCGCCGTGCGCATTGCCCAGTCCCTGGGGCTGCATCGGCTGGGCTCGCCTTCGCACGACGGCAGCCCCGTCACGGCCGACATCGAAGAGGGCCGTCGCGTGTGGAGTCAGCTGTGCAGCCAGGACTGGTTCGGCATCCCCTTCTCCGAAAGCTACCTCGTCAACCCGCTGCACGCGCAGACCGCCAAGCCCGCCAACGTGCACGACGAAGACCTGGCCGCCGCCGCGGCCCCGTCGGAGGCAGGCAGCAGCAGCATCCCGGTCCAGCCGGAGGCCGAGCCCACCGTCTCCGGCTACTGCCGCTTCCTCAACACCATTGCCTCCATCATGCCGCGCCTGCAGGACGGCCTGCTGTCCTGCAACACCGCCTACACCCGCTACCAGCAGGTCCTGTCGTGGGACGCCCACATGCGCGCACTGGCCACGGCCGGCCGCCCGCGCTTCCTGGGCCCCCAGGTGCCCCTGCAAGACCACTGGCCCTGCTGGGTTCCCTGGGCCCGCCGCGCCCTGGCCATCAGCTCCGGCCACAAGATTATCATGATCCACCGCTCGTTCCTGTCCGAGAGCTTCTCCAATCCGGCCTTTGCCTTTACCCGGCACACGTGCATCGCCGCCTCCAAGACCATCATCAAAGAGTACAAGGCCGTGGTGCGGGAAGAGGGGCCTGTGCTGTGGGTCCACCAGGCGTTCTCGGTGGCCGCGTCCATCATTTTGACGCTGGACGTGCTGCACCGCGGCCCGGACGACGATCCCAACGCGGTCCGCGAGCATGCCGAACACGCTTGTTTGGTCGAAGACGTCGTCGATTTGCTGCGCCAGTTCCCGCAGAGCATGATTGCCGTGCGCGGGATGCGGCTGCTGCGCGCCCTGCTCGACGAAGTCGGCCGGCGGGACGCCGCTCCTGCACCAGACGAACGATTTGCCACCGGCCAAGCCGGCTCTCGAAAACGAAAACGACCATGGACGCACGACCACCGATCGTCGCTGTCGGTTACGAGCAATAACGGATTCAATGTGCCTGCTTTTATTCGTAGTTACTGCCGAGGCGAGACAATGGACGAAGGACGGCAACCCATCAGTAGGTCGTACCACCAACGGCGACGACAGATGCCCTCAAAGCCGCCTGCGAATGGTCACAGTGCTGGTACGGAAACCACGATAGGACAACCACTCACCGGGACTCTTCCTTTGCGAAAGGATCAGCTTCATGACAGTAACAGAGCCGACACGGTGGACGTTGCGGATAGCTTCCCGGTACCATCCGTGGGTGAGGAAGCGACAACGCTTATCAGCGACGAATTTGTCGACACTGGCCCCCTGGATCTTCCCATACTACTTCCGCCGGGTTGGGAGAGGACTAGCAACGGTTTTGAGAATCTGCTCTATCTGGCGAGCCATGACATGTCCCTACTGTAGTATGACGTGTACAGAAATAGATTGCGTGTTCTGACTACAACTCGTAACGCCCAAAGTAACCTCCCGTATCTGACCATCTATGCCTCCGGCTCTGCCTTCTCCACGCGGCTCAGGAAAATGGACAGCGCCAGCTTCACGCCCTCCAAGTCCTCCAGAATCAGCTGGTGCCCGCTGCGCACAACCTGCACCTCGACTGGCCCGCCCACCAGCTTGGCCAGGTCCTCCGACCGTGACACGGGGCTGATCATGTCCTTGTCGCCTGCCACAAACACCACGGGACACGTTATGGCGCCGTACGCCGGGTCGACGTGGTCGTCCGCCACCATGGCCTCGCACGTCTGGGCGTATGCCTCCGGGTCGGACGCGGCGACGGCGTCGTACACGGTTTGTCGGAGCGCCACGGGGACCGTCCGCTCGGGCGTGTCCGCATAGAAATTGGTCACCTCGGCGGCCTTGGTGGCGGCGGCCGCGATGCCCTGGGTGCGCACCAGCGCAGCCAGGTCCACCATGGCGGCGCGCGCGGCAGGGATGCGGCCACCTGCGCGGCCGGGTCCCAGAAGAAAGAGGCCGCCAACGGGAGACGAGGCGGCAGCGGCAGCAGCAGCGTGTAGATTGATAACGGCGCCCAGCGAGTGTCCGACGAGGAGCACGGGCATGCGGGCGCCGGCGCTGCCCGCTGGCGCAGCGGCTTGCAGAGATGCGACGAGATGGTGTAGGTTGGCGACATGGTCGGCGATTGAAATGCGTCGCGCGTCTGCTGCCGAGGGCCGCGGCGACTTGCCAAAGCCGGGGAAGTCGACGCTAACGGCGTGGAAGCGCTCCGGAAGAAGCGGCACGAAACTGTCAAACGTGGCGGTCGAGCCACCAAGACCGTGGGTCAGTATGACGAGCTGGCCGGAAGGATTGCCAGACAGTTTGTAGTGTATCTTGTAACCCAAAGGCGTGTCGATGAAGGAGGACATGGTGGATGTGGAGATGTTGTGCTGTCGAAAGTGGCTGAGCCCAGTATCATACTTCCAGGAACAAGAAATTCTTTTTTAAATAAGCACTGTTTAAGCGACCATGACCTTGAAGCTTCGTTAGAGGAATTCCTGGTGATTCGATGGGCTCTTGTGGTGGATGAAGCTCGGCCGAGGTGGCAAAAAGTGGGTCTTCCGTGTTGCTCGGGCTCGGCCGACACCCGACTGTGCGGGTCTTCTTACTACGGAAGGAGCGATCCTTGGGCATGAGTGACGTTCGTTTATGCCAGTCCACGGGATAGAATCAAACAGCCCTCAAAGCATCAATATTGCGGGTTGATATAAGTTCCAAGTTCATCAACACTTATCAGACAATTCGATACCTACATCATCCTCATCAATCACATCTTTCGTAAATTGCCAACGCAACCTCACACGACACAGCACAAAATGGTCATCGCCGCTGTCGTTACAGAAACTGAAGAAGCGGGCGCCCCTGGGCTGCACCTGCTGCCGCCCAAGGAGATATTTGAGCTGCCTCATGCCGAGACTACCACAGGTCGCATCCAGCCCATTGCGCACGCCGCCGACAGCAAGGTCGACTTTGGCGCACTGGTCTACGGGATTGACCTCAACAAGTTTACCGATGCCGACTTTGACTTCATCTCGGACGCACTGCACAAGCACAAGCTGCTCGTCTTCAAGGAGCAGCCGGGCATGCTGCGCCCGCAGCAGCAGTACCGCCTGACGGCGAGCTTCGACCCGGACGAGACGACGGGCGGCTTTGCGCACGGCAAAGATCCGTTCTTGCTGCACCACAACGGCGTCGACATCTACGGCATCCCCAAGCGGCCCGCCATCCCCGAGCAGCCGCAGGTGCACATCCTGGGCCGCGGCCCCTTGGGCCCCGACCACTACGGCTTCCCGGCTGGCTTCGAGATCCAAGGCATCGACCACCACGAGTTCCACCTGCCGCCGCACATCAGCGACGAGGACCGCGAGGCCGGCGCGTCGCGCTTCTACCAGTGGCATTTTGACGGCTCCCTCTACAACATCCCGCCGCCACGCGTCGGCTGCCTGCTGGCCGTCCAGACGCCCAAGGGCCCTGACGTCACCGTGCGGTGGGACGACGGCTCGGGCACGGAGATGCGCATGCCGCCCGGCGCCACGGCCATGGTCGCCGGCAGCCGTGCGCTCGCGCTGCTCGACGAGGCGACGCGCCAGACGGCGCTGCACAGCCGCATCGAGTACGCGCCGCATGCGTTTGCGTGGATGGCGCCCGCCCGCAGCACGCGGCTCGGCCACTTGATCGAGACGGAGGGCCGCGAGGTGCCGCTCACCGCGCTGCCGCCCTGGTCCCCGGACAAGGTGTGCATCTACCCGATGGTGTGGACGAACCCCAAGACGGGCGAGTTGTCGCTGCAGGTGCACGGCCAGGCTGCGCTCCGGCTATACCTCAAGAGCCGCGCCGACGGGCCCGAGACGATTGTCAGCGACCTCGCAGAGGTGCGTGCGTTTATGCACAAGCTGATGCGGCCCGTGCTGGAGCCGGAGAACATTTACGCGCACGACCACCAGGAGTCGGACGTCATCCTGTGGTACAACCGCGCACTGTGGCACAGCATTGTGAGTATGCCGCGGGCGTGTCCGTCGTTGTCGTTTTCTGCCTATAGCCTCGCTAACACCACAGACCGAATTTCCCAAGTCGTACGGCCCTCGCGTCATGCACCAGTGCAATATAGCTGCAAGCGACCACCCGCAGTAGTGACGAGCAGCTGTAATTGTGTTGGCTAATATTACATGTTGACAAAATGTAACTGAACTTTCTGATAATGGTCACATATCTCACATAATGCCTTTTTTTTAAAAATAAAAAATTCGTGTTTATTTCGTTCTGCCTCTCATGGCGTGAAACAACTGTTTTGTTGTGAATTTTGGTAAAAAGAATAGTACATAATACCATATCATTGCAATGTGTGATAACATTCAAACATTCAAACATCCAAACATCTAAACTACAGTACAGTAAGCTGCATGAATTTGAGCAAAACTTTACGGCGAAAATGCTTCATGCGGAGCTCGCCGTTTTCATTCCACGTTGACATATGTCGACCAACGGCAGTGAATCTTGGGGCATTGGGGTGGAGGATCCTATCATAGGTTGAGATAAGGTTTGTGATAGGACTTATCTGGGACCAGGGCGCTCGGCCGAGGTATGCGGGGGTTCACGCTACATGTTGATGCCCGGAATGAACGAGTACCACTTTGACATGAAAGTGTGGACTGGATATCGCCGTCCGGGTATTGGTCAAAAGACAAGGGGAGGGAAACAAGTCTCGTTTCTTTACGCGACGAATATAAACAGAGATGGGAAACACTTGGGCGACGGAAACAAACAATAACTACCCTGTAATTTGCCCAAATATACCATAGACCAACAGCGCTATTTCAATCACGATACCACTGATTATTATCCATCATGTCGCCGAGTGCTCTCAGACCCGAGCCGGGGTTCACGGTGGTGCCGATGAAGAAAACGGGCGACGACAAGACCAACTTTGGCGCCGTGATCGACGACCTGGACTTGAACGACATCAGCGGTGCGTCTGTCCGTGTTCTTGCTTTTTTTTTTATGCTGCGCGTGTATGACTGCGCGTGCCTTTACTCCTTTACTAACCTCCCCCGTGGTCTAGACGACGACGTCCAGGCACTGTCGGACGCCATTTGGACGCACAAGGTGGTGGTCGTCAAGGGCCAGCAGGACCTCCATCCGCAAAAGCAGTGGGACCTGGTGACACGCTTCGACCCGGACGCGCCGCAGGTGCACTCGCACGGCGACATGAAGACATTCAATGCCAACGGCGGCCTGCTGGTGCGCGGGCGGTACGTGGCGGCGCTGCCGGGCGTCGAGAACATCCGGCTTGTCGGCAAGGGTTACCAGGGCGCGGACCACTACGGCCTCAAGGACCTGACAATCACCAAGGACCGGCTGCACGCGTGGCACAGCGTCAAGCTGGACGACGAGGCGTTTGCGGCGGGCCACACGCGGTTCCAGCGGTGGCACATTGACGCGCCGCTGTACGACCGCGACCCGGCGTGGTTCACGACGCTGCGATGCGTCAAGCGGCCGACGGCGACGGCGCCGGCCCTGACGGTGCACTGGGACGACGGCAGCGGGCGGACCAAGGCCGTGCAGCCGGGCCTGACGGCCTTCTTCAGCAACGTGCAGACGTACGCGATGCTCACGCCCGAGGAAAAGGCGTTGGCCGACCACTCGTGGGTCGAGTACGCGCCGCACCCCTACACGTGGCTGGGCGGCGCCGAGTCTAACCCGACCGGGCTCGGCATTGCCGGGTCGGGCCAGGAGCTACCGCTGGACCAGCTGCCGGCGTACGAGGACAGCAAGGTCAAGCGCTACCCCATGGTGTGGGTGAACCCGGTGACGGGCGAGCGGGCGTTTATGGTGCACAGCATCTGCGTGCGGCGGCTCTTTCTGCGCAAGTCGCAGGACGAGGCGGCCGTGTGCGTCGAGGACCTCGACACGGTGCGGGCGTGGCTGCGGGGAATCCAGGAGCGCGTGCTCCAGCCCGCGTACGTCATGGTGCCCGAGCTCGAGGAGGGCGACATTGTCATGTGGGCCAACTATCAGATGTTCCACTCCGCCATCGACTACCCGGACGAGATGGGCCCGCGCACGATGCACCAGGCCAACATTGGCGCCAGCATTGGCCCGACCGGGCCGTTCCCTGTGCCTGCGGCAGCATGAGTGTAGATGAATGGGATGGTGGGTGTTGGTGGATGTTGGTGGATGGTTGGTGTACGGTTAGTGGACAACGTGTATTTAAAGAGGATTGTTCAAGATTATACTGCTTTTTTGACCAAGAATCACAATGTGAGGACGACATAGGTATATCAGAGGTATATCATAGGTATATTCGCTGCCACTCGCACGTCATGTTTCCGCAGCCACGTCCTATTCAAACAGACACAGATACAGAATGGAGAGCCTCGCGGTTCCACGCATTGGACGGCGCAAACAGCGATGCAAAGTGAGCGGCAATGTCGTTGCGCTTGGCAATCCAGACACCCTCCTTTTGACCCACATACTCCAGAAACCGGACAATGGACGCCACGCGGCCGGGCCGCATGATGCGCGCATGCAGGCCCACCGACATGAGGGTCGCGCTCTCGTCGGACTCGGCGTACAGCACGTCGAACGCGTCGCGCAGATAGTCGAAAAAGTCCGTCGAGCCCGTGTAGCCGGGCCCCGACTGCCCGCCCCAGAAGCGCGCGTCGTTGGTGTCCACGGCGTACGGCAGCACCAGCATGGGCCGCCCGGCAACGTCGGCATAGTACGGCCGGTCGTCGTTGGTCGTGGCCGAGTCGTAGGCCAGCCCTTCCTCGGCCATCACGCGCCGGGTGTGTTCGGTGATGGGCGGCCGGGGGAAGGCGCCCAGGATGCGCTGGCCCGTCAGTGCCAGCGTCTGGTTGACGGACGCGCGCAGGTCGGCGCGCTCCATGGCCTCCGTCAAGCCCAGGCGGCTGATGGACCGCGTGCCGTGCGAGACAATGTCGCAGTCGGCGTGCCCGGCGCGCAGGTGCGCCGCCAGTGCCGGGTTCGCCAGCAGCGCCTCGGACGACAGAAAAATGCTAAACGGCGCGTTGTGCTGCGCGAAGATGCGCAGCAGCCGCCAGACGCCCACGCGTGTGCCGTACTCGTACTCGCCCTCCTGCATCAGGTCGCGCTCGCTGTCCGGCAGGGCACTGCGCACCCACGTGCGCGAGTCCCGCGTGGCGTCGCCCAGCAGCGGACTGCGCTCCGTGCCCTCCTCGTAGTTTATGGCAAAGTTGATGGCCACCTTTTTCCCGCCGGGCCACGAAAAGGCGGGTGGATGGGGGCCGTAGCCCGCAAAGTCGCGAGGGCGAGCGGTCATCGTCTGTGGGAGGGGAGGAAGGAGGGGGGGTGTCGGCCTTTGCACGAGACTGTACGTCGCTGCTGTTGTTTACTCTACTTATAGTCATACCACTGTTTTCGATTTTCTCCTGGCTTGCCCTGCACATGGTCAGGTCCTCGTCCTTCAACACTGTCTCGATGAATATCGACACTAAGACGAATGGGGAAGGGCAGTCGTGGCTGTGGACGCTTATACGGAATGCGGAGTATGCACGAATGTACATGGAGCCGTTCTGTTCTTATCACAACAACGCTAGGCATTTTGTCGAGTTTAGCCGACTTACCCAACTCGTCGATGTCAGTCAAAACCCGGTATCTTTCATCTTTCACCGATTGGTTGCGTCCACATCTGACATCCTCTTGTTGCCAATGAGTTGCCAACAAACAACGATATGCCCCCTCGAAAACGACCACGCGAGTATCGGGGCCACTCGTGCCTTCGCTGCCACAAGCAGAAAGTCAAGTGCACTCGAGGTGCGTCAGTGGCTCTCCACCATTATGCATTGCCCTGCGGGGAGGGGGGAGGAGGAGTGAACTGGCCTTGACTGACAACGACGACGCGGTTTCCTCAGGCCATCCATGTCGAGGCTGCGCAGCGGCCAAGAAGCCATGTGTGTATGTCGTTCGAGACAAGATGGTGACGGTTGCCGAGAGCCATCTGAAGCGACTCGAAGCGGCGGTCACGACCAGAAGCTCAACTGCTTCAGCTCCTGCTGCAGCTCCAGCTCCTGCTCCAGCTCCTGCTCCTGCTCTGACCCATCCGGTGGTTGAAAACTCGACGGCGGCACGTTTCGTGTCCCGGTTGAAGGAGATCCAGCAACCCAAACCGGGCGTGGACCTGGCGCCGGCCTACGATGGACCATCTCCTCCCGTCTACGAGTACTTTACCCTCAACTCGGATACATCTCGTAGGTGACGTTCTTTGTGTCCCTCCTCGTGGCCATGACCGTTGCTGGATCGTTGCTGAATGGCAGCACTGATTGTTCACGCGACAGACGCAAAATGCACATTCAAAATGCCACCGTACCCCTACGCCGTCTTCCTCGCCCGCCAGTTTATGATCTACGTCGCCCACGACTGGCACTGGTTCCGTCTCCGCCGCTTTCACGAGCGTCTTGTCCGAGTCTACACGACGCCGGATGCGCCTGACTCCAAAGACCGCCTCTGGCTGTGCCAGTTGCTCGTGGCCTTTGCCCTCGGCGCGTCCATCGGCGGCCACGATCCCACGTCGCACGTTCGTCGTCCAGGCTCGGCGCCGCCAGAGACACCAATCCAAGTGTCGGCTGTGTCGAGTGTGGCAAGCCACGTGCCAGGAGCAGAAGTGTCGGGTCCGTCCGCGACGCCGTCGACATCTGCCAACATTCCCGGCGTCGAGTACCTCGAACAAGCACTGGGCCTGCTCAAGATCCCGTACGAAGAGGCCTCCGTCGAGCACATTGAGACGTTAAACATGGTGGTATGCACGGACGATCAGAAAGGACAAAGATAAAGACAAAAGACAAAAGACAAAGAACACATACTGACGTCTGGCAGGCCCTCTGCTCCTACGGTCTGAATCGGCAACAGACCACCTACATGTACGCCGGCGTCAGCGCGCGCATGTGCAACATGCTGCAGCTGCACCTGGCGGCGTCGTCCCGCGACTGCGGTCCCGTCGAGCGCGAGAACCGAAAACGCGTCTGGTGGACCACGTTCTGCATCGACCGCATGGCCAGCACGCAGATGGGCGTCCTGCCCGCGCTCCACATCGACCAGGCCGACCTCACCTACCCGGCCAGCGACGGACTGGCGCGCGAGGACATGGCGGAGTTTGCGGACCCCGACTACCTGACGGCGCGCATCCAGCTGACCGTGATCCAGGCCGACGCCGTCGGCAGCGGCGATGCCGACACAGACGACACGCCCGCCCTCGGCCGACTGACGGCGTGGAAGGCTGCGTTGCCGGTGCACATGGCCGTCCCCTTCCACGCGGGCATGGCCGCGTCCGAGGACGATACGGCCGTCCTGCGGTCGCTCGCCAACCTGCATCTTCGCTACAATCATGTATGCCCGAGCCCTATGCCCCCATCGCTCATACCCCTCCTACATGGAATGCCCCGTACTCTGGCTTACCTCTTAGTGCGTGATCCTTCTCCTCCGACCACGTCTTCTTCGGCAAATCGCTTCGATTGTCGCCAACGATGCGCCCAACGAGGACTCGCCCGCACGTGAAAAGACGCTCCGGCAAAACCTCAACCACATCTGCCTCGATGCCGCGCGGTCCAGCCTCAACATGCTCTTCGATCTGCGGGCGTGCGGTCTCTTGACGCACCTGGGCTTCATGGAGAACATGCATCTGTTTTCCAGCCTCGTCGTCCTGTGCTTGGCCAAGCTCATCAACACGCGACGGCCCCACAGCTTTCCCGCCGACCCGCGCGACGACGTGGCCTACGACACGGGCAGAGACCTGATGCAGGACATGGCCGCGGCGGGCAGCCTGGCCGCACGGGGGCATCTCCGCATGCTGGCCGACGTCGAGGCACTGGCACGCAGCATCGCGGCGGTCGACGGCGACGCCGCTGTCGACGTGCGCGTGGAACAGCGGGACGCGGACGACTGGATCGCTCTGTTGTTTGACGAGAACCTGGCCGATCCTTTTTAAGGAAGATGTCCTTTTGTCTTTTTCTTTCATTTTTTTCTGTTTCCTTTGCTTCAATTCCACGCCTTATTTGACATTTAGTTTCTACTTGACACCCGCGTGCCCTATGTGCTCCGTCCGGTGACTCCATTGGCGCCATTGACAACCCCGCTGGCCGTCCGGTTGGCGACCATCGCGTCATACTCCAGCGGCGCCGGCGTCAGGCGCCCATCCGCAATGCCCTTTTGCCAGCGCGCGAAGCCCTGTCGCGACACCGACGACGACGTCCACATCTGGTTGGCCCGGTACAGGTTGGCCACGGCCACCAAGACGTCGGTCGGCTGCCCCGGGAAGAGCGCCGCCAGGTCGTCGCGGTAGGTCTCGGCGTCGTTGTCGAGCACATGCCGCATGCCCCGCTCGAGCGCCATGCAGAACCGCGTCTGCGCGTCCACGACCGCCGCGTCGCCCAGCGTCTCCGTCTCGCAGTAGTACACGCTCCAGGGGATCGCGTCGCCGCCCGCGGCCATCTCCAGGACCACGTGCACGTCCGCGTTGGTCTGCGCCAGGATGCGCGCCGACACAATGTCGAGCACGAAATAGTCGCCCAGGCCGCCCTCGAAGAGCGTGCGCAGCATCGGGCCGGCCAGGTCTTGCACAAAGTGCACCGCGGCCGGGTCGATGCCGTGCTCGCGCAGCAGCATCTTAAAGAAGAGGCCGACGCTGGCGCCGTTGCCCGACTTTAACAGCACCGTCTTGTCGACGACCTGCGCGAGATGGAACGGTTTGGCATCATGGGCGTGGCTAGCACCGCCAGCACCACCGCCCCGCGCTACCAGCGCCAGCGGACACCGGTTGGACAGCTGCGCAAAGGCCGTGTACTGCTTGCCCGCGCTGCGGTACATGGACGGCACCCAGATGCCGCCGAGGGCGGCCGCGGCCGTGCCGTCGCCCAGTTCCTCGAGCACATTGTCCCAGGGCGACGGGACTGACACCGAGATCGCGAGGCCCTCGTCCCGGAAATAGCCGTGGCGTTCGGCAATGTACTGCGGCAGGTAGTTGAGGCTGTGGCCAGTTGCGGCAATATGGAAGCGAGTCGGGGCAGCAGTGGCGGCCATTCTGTGGGGTGGAGTGTTAGAAGACGTCGACAGTAGAGTCGTGATTGTAGAGCAGTTTCCGTACATACTTTGCAAGTTGCTGTGGTTGTTGGGGACGGTGGACCGATGTCGTTCACTGCACAATCACCAGAGCAGTACAATGTTGACAAGATTGTCAATGAAGAAAAGGAAACCGGCAATAATAGAAATACCAACAACACGAACAAAACTAACAGGACCATGGTCTGAAATAATATGGCATTCTCCGAGATGAATACAACTGATCTAGCAATACACCAACGCACGAGTCTCGTCATTTCACCTTCCATGCCGACCGGCAAACGGAACAAGCCACCGAGACTCTCGTCAAGACGAAAGCCGTTGCTGCTTCGATGTAGACGCACACGGCACTTGGTTATCGTTCGCTGCACGACGTCCATGCACAGCTCGCCGATCGATATCGATACAGATAGGCATTTCTAGCCAATTCGCCTAGCGCGGTCTGGTCCCGTGGACGGGGACAACTGTGAATGGCCGGTCCTCTTTGCGGGGAAGATATGGAACGTGGTGTAGCGCGCAGCGTGACAGATAGTGACGACAGGGGTGCTGGGGATGCACACAACCTGAAAGGAAGCATATCGCCGCTCTGAAGCCAGGACTGCCAGTCCTCTCCCCAGTGGCTTATCAAAATGGAAAGCACAAGTCGTTTGGCAGAGAAGGAGACGTCGCTGCAGATGCTCTCACATTCAGTGCAGATTGTCAACGGCCAGACCAAGACCGAGGGGAGAAAGTGATACCAACGGTTAGGATGTTATAAGAACAGCCAAGACGGACGTCAGACACACTCTCCACGACACATTGGCACTGTTCATTGATTCGAACTGAGACGTTGTCCGACGTCGCCTCTGGCATTTTATTTATTTATTTTTCTTTTATTTTTATTCTTTTTAGCCTCGACATCCTTCATCATGACAACGGACGCGACCGAAAAAGACGTGAAAACGGCCGCCGCGCCAGTGACCGACGTGCAGGACGTCGCCTCCGAGCTGACCGCCATCTACATAGATCCCGAGCGCGAGGCGGCCGCCCTCCGCAAGTTTGACCGCTGGCTCGTGCCGGTTGCCTTTTCCTTTCTCGTCCTCTCGTCGCTCGACCGGAACAACGTGCGTTCTGTGCTCCTTTTTGCTGCTGGTTCTTTCTTTCCTTCCATGGTTTGTCTAAACAACTCCACAGCTCGGGAATGCCAAGGTATTTGGCTTCGCCACCGACCTCAACCTCACCGGAAACAAGTTTGGCAACCTCACCACCGTCGTCAGCGTCACCCTCATCGCCTTTGAAGTCCCCTGGGTCATTGCCATCCGCCGCTACGGCGCCAACCGCGCCCTCGGCGTCGGCCTCATCATGTGGAGTGCCGTGACGCTCGGTACGGCGTTTGTGCAGACCTACGGCCAGGCGCTGGCCGTACGCACGCTGCTCGGCATCTTCGAGGCCGGCATCTCGCCCGGCTTTGCCTACCTGTTCGCGACCATCTACCCGCGCCACGCCGCCGGCAAGCGCGTCATGATGGGCAACCTCGCCAACTGCACGTCGGGCGCTTTCGGCGGGCTGATTGCCTACGGCGTGCAGAGCATGGGCACGCGGCGCGGCATGGTCCCATGGCGCTGGCTGTTTGTCTTTGAGGCGATTGTCACCGTGGTCATCGGCGGCATCGGCCTCGCCATCCTGCCCCGCACGCCCGAAGAGGCCTGGTTCCTGACCGACGACGAGAAGGAGACGATGCGGCTGCGCCGCCGGCGCGACGAGACGTTCCGCGGCAGCGACGAATTCGACTGGAAGTGGGTGCGGCTCTGCCTGGGCGACGCGTACATTTACGTCTGCGCCTTGGCCTTTTTCACGTCGTCCGTCGCCATCACTGGCTTCGGCGTCTTCTTGCCCACCATCATCCAGGGCCTCGGCTACGCCGCGATCCAGGTCAACTACCTGACCATCCCGGTCTACGTCGTCGGCGCCCTCTCCCTCGTCACCAACTGCTACGTGTCGGACCGCCTCAACCGCCGCGCCATCGTCCTCCTGTGGTGCTGCCTCCCCGTCATCGCCGGCTACCTCATCTGCGTCGGCACCGCCAACGCCCACGCGGGCTACGCCGGCATGTTCGTCCTCGTGCTCGGCGTCTACCCCATCTCCACCCTCGTCGTCGCCTGGATGGGCACCAACCTCTCGCCCGACAACAAGCGCGCCTTTGGCCTGCCCTTCTTCTACTCCATCGGCAACCTCTCGCTGCTCGTCTCCTCCCAGCTCTACCCCAGCACCCAGGGCCCCCGCTACGTCCAGGGCAATGCCGTCTCCGCCGGCCTCGAAGTCGTCGCCGCCGCGCTCTACTTGTGCAGCTGGCTCATCCTGCGCCGGCGCAACGCCCAGAAGAAGAAGCTCATCAGCGAGGGTGTCACCGACAATGGCATGGAGGGCGACCGTGCGCTCGACTTTACCTATGGCCTGTGATGCGTTGGGTGATGCTTTGGCTTGTCCACAACGAATCTGCGTATGGGGCATGCATTTGATTCCTGGTGTATGATTTGGCTCGCGTCAAGAGATATTATGTTATGTGTCATGCAGGGAGTACGCTATTAGTAGACATTTAAGGGTTAATATATCGTTTATCCATGTAATTGGAAAACTGTGATATCTGACGTGTTTTGATCACCGATACGTGGAAAGTGCTGACTTGTGTAAAAAAATAGAAGACACAATTATGTATTTGATGTTCTTATCCGCAGTATGTTGTCTTGCAATGAGGTATTCTACATTCATATACTTTGAAAAAAAGGAATTTCGGGCCAACTAGTAAAGGACAATTGATGTGCACTCCATCAATCGCAGCACGCCCAGGCTTGGTTGAGCAACAACGAGGCCGCCCTGGACATCCATGGCCAGACCATCGGGGCCACCGCCACCAGAGAGATTGAGAAACACGCCGACTTGTGCTGACCCCGCCGTCAGGCACGAAGGGTGCGCGCCAGATGGCGTTTGCGCGCACGGCTGCGACCACGAGCCGAGGACGGGAAGCGCCCGTGTCCGGGACGACTTTGACCAGGCCGAGGCGGTGGTCGGCCACCAGGATGCGGCCCCCAGGCGTGCACGTGAGACCATTGGGCCAGCCGTCGTACTCGGCCACCAATGTCCATGCTCTGCTCTGCGGATCGCTCCGGCAGATGCGCCCAAATGGAATGCCGACCACGTAGAGGCGGCCTTTCCGGTCAAAGCACGGCCCTTCCAAGAAGGTGCCGATCGACTTGCCGGCATCCCAAATTATGGTCAGCCCATTCGCTGGTGCGGGCGGTCGAGAAAGATTCCGGGACCGTTGTGTAAATTTTCGCTGCGAGGCGTACGGGGGTTTCTAGGTAGAACAGTGTCGAGGTTGTCAGTCTCTGGCAAGTCAGTATCTGTTCCACATTATAGTATGGATGAGTAGCTTTATGCCTTGGCAAATGACATTCTGCACCCGCTCCGCCCCTACGTTGGTGGCTCCGTCCATCACCACGGCATGCCAAACGGAGAGTTGGCAGATGCTGCTACTATCATGAACAACCAGGACCATGTTGTGGAACGCAGCCGGGAGGCGAAAAACACGATCCTGCGTCGTTATTCAGACGCGCCCAATGGGCTGCTCCAAGTCGTGATGGACATGGTCGACAACCATGACAACTGGAGGCTGACCGAGGCTGCCAAGGCGCTGTTTGCTTCCGGGTTCTCAACTCGTGGATCCTCAACCCGTGGATCCTCAGCCCATTGGCCCTCCGCCCGCCCCGGCCAGCGAGTCGAGCAGACAGCCTAAGAGCTGGGCTGAGTCAATGCGCAAGTGGCTTGACGTTGCCAAAGCGGTGGCCGACTTCTTCAAAGAAGCCCGCTCGACGGACGGCGCACCGTTTACGTGGCGCATCGCGGATGCCTGGGGCAAGCTGCGCGCGTGGTGGCGGGGCGGCTCGTCGTGAACTAGACAAAGTCAAAGTGCTGAAATCGCTAGGGACGACTGATTTTGGTCTGAATGTTTTGATCACCGGCTTCAGATGTAAATCTGGGACGAATTTGGTCTCTTTGGTTTGCCAATGGGAAGTTTGCTTGCGATGGTCTGCGAGCTGGCTGAAGAGAAACACGATGCCGTCCAGTTTCGCAAAGCGCTCTGTCGCTGGCACTGTAAGAAGAAGGATAGTATTAACTAGCTAAAGGATAAATACATCGGTTTCTCCAGTCGATATGAGCTTTCGCAGCTTCACAAGAACTTTCTCGGGGATTCCGGTGGCAGAAGAGTCAAAAGAGTTGTTTTGGGGTGGGGGAAATGTTGATTAAGACTGTTGAGTCGACCGGTTAAGGTTACATAGGATACTTAGGGCGTGATGCACATTCCAGATTTCCAGTGCAAAATCCGTGACGAGTGGCCGACCAACCCCAAAACGGTTCCAAGACAGTACAGTGCCAAATGGTTCTAAAAGAGTTGCTGTATTTGTACAAGTACGAACTACTGTATCAGTGAGTGTGTTGCCGCCCGAGCCGCCCCACACCGCACTAAGCTGCATCGAGAATCTTGTGCTGAGAATCACACCCTAAACCACTGTGCTCGTGACGAAAGGGGGAAGCCCCCTGCCAGTCTCAATTATTAATCATTGATTAGGTACGTTTTTCTTGTTAACACAGTTCCAGGAGCGGGGACTCGAAAGTGGTCAGGAGAAAGCAGGCGCGCGACGTTTAAAGCAATGAAGACAGTTGTGGGCGTCGCTACATACATAACACTTGTTGCTCATTATGTATCTTAACAGGCTTGCTGGATATGCTACAAGATGTTTATGGCATGGCCGAGGATACTTTTCTGGTCCTAAGCTCTGAAAGAGCGCCTTTTGTGTGTCGAGAGCGAGGCGGACAGACTCCTCGACTCAACCTAACCACAAAGCCACCACAACCCCAGAAACGAAAGGGTTTGTAACAATAGCCAGCACAGCGTCAATAATGGACCTTTTACCTCCTTCTTGTTGTGAAGTGCGGGGGCTTGTGGCCGGCGTAAGACTTGCGTCGTACGCATACGTAATATCTCGACGTTCTGAACCATTGAAAAGTTGGCTTCCTTCTTGATTTTAGAAGCTCGCTGCGGGGTTCCCGGCGTCGCCGACGACTTACGCTCCCTGGGCATCTGCCAAGTTGTGGTGGCATTTCGATTCTTCGTAACAGGGGCGACAAGTTTGTTGTTTTCGGCCAGTCGCTCGGTGCATTGAATATGCAACGCAGTGACCGGTACCTGTCTGCATATCGCACGTGAGATTCCCAGGTTTCTGTACGAATTACAGGACATCAGCTAGGTTGAAGTGCGCATGCTCACATCACATCACGCCCATGTAACCATACTACTCAGTACTTGGTCTTGTTGGCAAAAAACCACTATCTGTCAGGCCACTCGCGCTAAATTAGTGAGATTGGGGGCATTGCATGGTCATTACCAGGGGGGATCGTCGAGAAGTCACAATCGCCATAAAACCAGAGACGAAAGTGGGCCAAAGAAAACAAACAGACGCCCTAGAACAAACCTAGTGGTGCAAGGGGTTAGGCCAGGCTCCCAAGCCCCACATATATTACTTCGGAGCTCCGTAAAGGGCAGGTGGTTTTGCTGGGGATGATAAGGACCACCAATGGTATCTACGGGGTCCAGTGTGGATCCCGATACCACCTAGAAGTCAAGCACACTTTTCTAGATCTGGCGGGAAAGCCGGTTAGACCATAGGTCTAGCCAAGCTTTGAGACACAGCAGCTGATCCGGGGTCGACAACCTGCTTATCTAGTGTCTTACCACCTACCCATAAACGAAATGTGTAATTACCGCTTTATCTTGGATGGCCTGTAATATGGCCGTGTGTTTTTTGATGCTTTTGCTTTCGGAGCTTTAAAACTGGGGTAGCCCTCCATCTTTCTCCTGTCTTTCTCTCTCTCACTTTTTCCCTACTCATTTTCCTATCGCCTCCATTGCCGTCAAGATGAGTACCATGAACGATACCAAAGCTGCGCTCGCCGACAGCGATGGGCCTACCAACGATGACCCGGTCAATAAAACCGGTACATTTGTTGGTGACCATCAAGCAACCGGCCAGCCATTTGGCGTCGACGAAGAGGTTGGGCAGCTGCAGCTTCACCGCAATCTAAAGGGCAGGCACATGCAGATGATCGCCATGTAAGGGTTTAATGCCAACATCCTCAATTCCTCAACTGCATACATACTAATCGATGCTTTTTCAAGTGGCGGTGCAATTGGTGCTGGTCTGTTCGTCGGCTCTGGCGGCGCTTTCCAGAATGGCGGCCCTGCTTCCGTGTTTCTTGGTTTCCTCATCGTTGGTGAGTTGTGAACTCGTGCGGCAACAAAAAAAAACTGCTGCGATACAATAGCTAACATGCTTATTTCAGGTGTCATGGTGTATGTTTTTCTCCATGTGGCCATCGGACGATTTGTGTCTTCAGCCGACTGACATTGACATGAATTCTTTAGATACCTTATGATGCAGGCCGTCGCGGAATTGACCGTCATGTATCCGATTAACGGCGCCTTCACCATGTACATCTGTCGCTTCGTTGATCCCTCCTTCGGGTGGGCGTGCGGCATAGAGTACGCCATCAGCTGGCTGACTGTCCTTCCCTTTGAAGTCTCAGCTGCTTGCAATATTATCCACTACTGGCCGGGGTCCGAGGGTATCAATAACTCTGCCTGGATTGTTCCGCTGCTTGTCGCCTTGGTGGTCATTCAATTCTTTGGTGTGAGGGGCTACGGCGAGGCAAGTTCAACCCACCGAGGACGTCCTCAAGTCTTTCGCTATATGATTGATGAGCTAACGGATTGTCCAACAGGTCGAATTCGTCCTCAGCGCTATGAAGGTCACCGCCTGCACCGGTTTCATCATCCTGGGCATAATCATCAACTGCGGCGGCGTGCCGACCGACGACAGAGGCTACATTGGCGGACGATACTGGTAATGCTCTACATCTTTTTGAATGGCGGTGGGCTAGGCTGACGAATGTTCTAAAATAGGCACGACCCTTACCCCGCATTCCTCAATGGCTTTCAAGGCTTCTGTAGCGTCTTCGTCACTGCGGCGTTCGCCTACACCGGCACCGAGCTGACTGGGCTGGCTGCTGCGGAAACGGTCGATCCAAAGAAGGAGATCCCGAGGGCTTCGAAGCAGGTCGCGTGGCGTATCGGCATCTTCTACGTCGTCAATCTTCTCCTTGTTGGTCTCATCGTACCGGCAAACAGCCCCTTGTATCAGGGCGAGGGTTCCGAATCGCGTCGCTCGCCTTTTGTCATTGCAATTCAGCTTGCTGGCATCAAGGTCCTGCCGTCGATTTTCAATACTGTCATCTTGATCGCCGTCATGAGCGTTGCCAACTCCTGCACCTTTGGCTCGACTCGAACACTTCAGGCTCTCGCTGCGAACGGTGCGTGCTCACGAGTCCCATGTACATCATTTCTCGCGATGCTAATAATCTCATGATACAGGAATGTTTCCCAAGTTCATGGCCTATATTGATAAAAAGGGACGTCCTGTACCTGTGGTCATTCTGCAGCTTCTCTTCGGGCTGTTGGCCTTTATTAACCTGGCAGAGAATGGCGGGACGGTCTTTAACTGGCTCCTGTCGTTGTCGGGCCTCACCATCCTCTTTGTCTACGGCGGTATCGCTCTGGCTCATATCCGCTTCCGCAAGGCCTGGTAAGCAAACAACCCCCCTGCCATGTCCTGCTTCGCGTCTCCCTCGGTGACTAACTACAAACAGGGCCGCGCACGGCCATACATTGGACGAGCTTCCCTACAAAGCCTCGTTCGGCGTCTGGGGCTCATGGGTGTGCTTCATCATCTGCGCTCTTGCTCTGATTGCCCAGTTCTACGTCGCACTGTATCCCGTCGGCGGCCCTAACCTGGATGCCAGCACCTTTTTCCAGCTCTACCTCGCTGGTCCACTGCTCATATTCCTATACGCGGTTTGGAAAGTCTATAGCTGGTTCTTTGAGCGTGACCACAGCCCGCTGTTTATCAGATCAAAGGACATTGATATCTACACGGGCATGAGAGAGCAGCAGCAACACATCAGTGGCCCAGGCCTCTCGGCCGAGCAGAGACGCGCTGCCATCGCCGAGACGTATGAGGAAAAGGAGAAGAGAAGTGTTGGGGCTTATTTCAAGGATGCTATTAGAAGCATCATTTAAACCAAGGCATAAGTGTACGGTGTAAGAAGGAACGAGGAGTAACGGGGTAGGAAAGGCTTAGTAGACGAAGTGAATATGTGGGGAGTAACATAGATAACACCAATAATCTTATTAAAACATAAAGACGAGATTTAATAAATTTTATTTATGTTTTACCAGATCATAATAAAAAGGTTATCCGCGCCTCACTTGTAGAGAAGAGGGGCATGGATTAGAGTTTACTCCTCCTACCATCTATGTTCGGAATCTCTTGCTTGTGATCCTCTCAGAGTAATGACTATTATCCCCAGACCCCTTTATAATACGCTAATGTACTCCCCTTAAGTCCATTACTTACTCCGTACGAGGAAAACTCGTTTCCCAACTTTAAACGCCGCCCCACCACTTACTTCTTGTTTTTACTATTTACACTTAAATTAGCGTTCCGGTACAAAGAAGTTCCTTCTCGTACTACGTACAAGCGTCGTTGGTGGATACCTCAATGGTCTGGGGATCATAGTCATCAATCATGTGACGGGCCACGGGCCAGGGGCCGTGGGGCTTGCTGGCATGGCCCAGCCATAGATGTGACTTTTGATTAGAAGCTCACCTACGGTGAACGATATTGGACCATCTGACCGGAAGGCTGCCGACGGTTGTTGTGCTACGGTCGATAAACGACAGTGAGCCGAGCCAGGGTCTGGCCACTATTTCTATTGTAGAGTTACCCGGTCCAGGAAGTCGTCATGGTATCGAAGTCAGCTCCTTCATCATCAAGGTAGGAGCGGCATACATGACCGCGCCGTTTGTGACTGCACAAGAGGACAACACATTAACAGGCTTGTCCCAATTTAAAATAGGCGCAACACTAGAACAAAGTGCACTTACTCCCAGGTCGCGCATGTCGCACACCAGGATAGACGAGTCCGTCGTCAGCCACGATGACTCCTTCGTCGTACAAATCATGTGGGCGGCTTTCGTTCTCTTTGTGGTCAAAAAGGCTGGGTCGACATCTCGGGCGATCGTATGCTAGAGAAGCAGGGCATGACGAATAAATCGCCTTGACAGTGAAAGGACGATAGCGCACCGCCCGAAAAATACCCGGCGATGGGATACGTCGTAGGCAAGCACTAAGAATCATGTCGAGTATATGTTAAAGTGTGCATGGTTTGGCTAAGCTCGCTCGTTTTCAGCGAAGATCGGAAATATTTACCAAAGTACTTCAAGGCCAACACGTGCAGGCTTATGATATTCGTCTCTAGCTTTTCAGGTATCAATTCGACCGCATTTCGCATTGTATTAACCATTGTGCACAGCATCTCATGAACCCACTGTAAGGTTGCCCACGTCCAGTCTTCACCTTACGTTTTCTCTTCGAGCTGTTTAGCATTCTTCTCCCAAAACACAGCATCTTGAAAATCGGGCACCGTTCATACCAGTCCAGACCAAGGCGCAGTCTGCTCTTGCCATTACCGTGCGTCACCAGTCGGGCCTCCGCCGTTGTGGAGCTGCCTCGGTCAGCGCGTTTGAGTAACACAATGACAGCAGAGCAAGGTCGTTGTACGATTTTATGTTACAGGTACCTACGCTGCCGGATAAGGTCCGGCCCTGTTTCGGCATGGACCTGTTTGTACGCGCCGAGGCTACCCCAGTACCTCAGTTCAGTGCTTTGCAAACTGGACATACCACGCCCCGGTACCAGGTCCAAACCAGGATTTGAGCTTGTCAATCTCCTCGGCAAAAAGGGGCGTCGCACTGTATGCGTCGTGTGCAGCGTGGCTAGTCCATCCGAGAAAGTAGACAGCTAGACGACGGTCGAGGGGCAGAATCTGCGTGGACGGCTCCGAAGCGGACTCTGTGCAAAGCGGCTGCCCGTTTGTGCGGTTGGTGTTGCTCGCGTAGGCCCAATCCCCGCCAACAAAGCCGTCGTCGGCAAGAAAACAGTCTGTATAGGTCTTGTGCATGGATGCCTGGAAGTCGGGGTTGCCGGTCGGTGCCTTGGCGACGACGTTGATTGTGGCCTGCAGCAGTGTCAGCGACGGTATTGGCTGTTCCTGGCTCGCAATGCTTACAAATTGGCACAGAGGCACGTCCAAGGCCTTGGCTAGGGCTGCCTCTTGACTGCTCTTAAACTCAAAAAGCAAGGACGTCGCGCCATGGTCGCCGAGGGCGGCGAGTTGTGTCGCAAGATTGGTCGGTCGCGAGCGCCAGTCTGGAAGAGTTCGAGGTTAGCAGGGAGGAAGGCGGAAAACGGCAAAGGGACGAACGCACTAATCACCCAACACATCTCATCAACGCGGACGGCCAGCGAGCTGCGGGCTGGCATGGTCGGTCCGTAGTACTGCGACAGGACAGCGCCGTGGCTGGCGATTTGGGCGCGAAGACGCGCAAAGTCGGCGACGCGCCGAGCTGGCAGCACGAAGCGCACGATTTCAGATACAAAGGACTGTGGGGTCGGTGTCATGGTGTTGGGTTGGTTTATTGATGATACGCACGAGATGAAAGGCAATGTCGGGCTCAACTGGGAGCTGTAGATAGATCGAACACGTTGCCAAGACCAAAATAGTGTTCTGTTCACAGCTACAGCAAAATCAAGTGGCCGTTTTCACGGGCGATCTACACAGCAAGCACAGCATTGAACAACTTGATGATTTGTCATCCATCTTGGTGTGCAGGACAACAAGTCACAAAATAAATCAATTGAAAATTGAAAAAACAAACGCAAGCATCTACTTTGCGATCTTCGACGCAAAACAGCTCCTTTTTCTGTCTTTTGATACAGGCAAATGTCCAGCAAAATGGATATATTCCATCAACTCTTGGTCGCACATCCATCTCCACACCCCATCTCGACGTAATTCCGTCTGAAGATGAATAAATCCTGTTCTACCCATAGAGGTTTGTAGATACTGGTATCACTTAAAATAGTGTTGTTTTAGCACTACAGCCGTTGCCGACCGGCGGAGGAGGAGATCTCACTGACGTGCTATTATTGTGCGTGGGCAGCCACGCCGGTGGACCTGGACCACTGGCTAAAGACAAGCTTCTCAGCCCGACCACTCCTACTGTGGCTATGCGGAGCGACAGGCTCCTGGAGTACTTGCTTGGGAGTCAGAGGGGACATTGGCCAAATGGTGAGACACCTGGCAGTCACGTACACGCACCTGTATGCACATCACTTCTACCTTACATTTTATCTTACTTATGCGTCAAGCCTAGTTCCTCTGATTCTCTTCTGCTGTTAGCACTCTTTGCCAGTTGTGGCGTGCACTGTGTATTTGCAACCTACAAAGTTTGCCCACTTAGATCTATGGTATTTTATTCCTTTAGTCCCCAGGGTTCTGCCCAGCTAGACGCCAACAGCCTCCAGTGCCTGAGACAGGCAGATAATCATAATCATAAAAAACGGAGAAAATCATTTGAACGTCACACTCCGAACATGCTACACAAACAACGGCGGCGCGGCATTCGCACTGATAATCGTGTTGTACACCCTCAACATACTGCCTGGCGCGCCCGGACTCCCCGGGCTACCCGGGCCGGCCTCGGCGGCGTGCAGGTCCTGGTGCGTCCAAGCAGCCTGCACAAGCCGGCGGACATGCACCAGGTTCTGCGGCGGTGGGATGCCCCCCAAGTGGGCGCTGGCTGCTTCGATGCTGGCAAGGATGGCGCGGCGGTCGTCCTCGTCGCGGGCCTCGACGCCCAAGACGAAGAGGAGCCAGGGGCGCTTGCAGTGGCCGAGTTGTGCGAGGAGCGCATAGCCTTCGGCGAGCAAATCCTGGACGACGTCGGCACGCTTGTCGACGCCGCGGCCGAGGCGCTGCAGGTACAGTTTGACACAGACGGCGTAGAGGTGGGACTCGGTCTCTTGGTACTGGGGGGGCTCACGCAGAAACGGAGGCGTGATGTCGGCGTCGAAGGGGTCGATCAGGGACACGGTGGACACGTGCTGGACGACGCTGTCGAGTCGAATCTCGGCCTGGCGGAGGGCGCGCAGGTGCTCGGGGCTGTGGTAGCCGGGGGTGGCGGGGTCGAGGACGGCGTCGACAATCTGGCACAGGATCTCGAGCAGCTCGAGCGAGCAGCCGAGCGACGGGTTGACGACGTGGCGCAGGGGCGAGAAGACGGGCTTGGACAGGATCCGGGGCCCGTCCTTGATCATGACCTGCGCGGCCGTGCGCTTCTCCCAGTGGTGGATGCTGAACTTGTACATGGCGTCGTGGTAAAAGACCCAGTCGAGGATCAAGGCCAGGTCGCCCTGGTAGGTGCTGTGCTCGCGGTGCATCGTCATCGCCAGCCGCTTGCACCCGCAAAAGTACACCGACGACGTGGCCGAGGCGTTCGACGTGTCGTCCAAGATCTCGTAGTAGTTGAGCAGCATGCTGGCGGCCATGGCCTGGAAGTACTGCGAAGGCTGCATGGGGCCGTTTGTGTGGCCGCCGATGCTGCCGCTGCTGCCGCTATCCACGGTGCCGGTGCCTAGTGCGGCCCCGTCGATGGCGACCTGCAGAGCGCGAATGGCCGTGGCCTGGTGTGCGTAGGCAAACTCCTTCTGGCCGAGCGTCTGGTATGAGAGCGCCGAGAGCGCGTGCCGTGTGGCCAAAGCAGGCGGCCCATCATCCGTCAGGGACATGCGCACCAGCAGGCTGTACAGGTCGTCGAACTGGTCGGCCGCGCCCGAGAACACGCCCGGCAGCAGACTGTGGCCTATGGTAGCCAGCGACGGGTCCAGGAAGCCCATGGAGGCGGGGGCGAGTGGTGTCGGCGTCAGCGTCGTCATGTGCGGTCGTGCGAGGTGCATGGCATAGTAGCTGGCCGGAAACGGGTCTCGGCTGTCGAGACGCGTCATCGAATCCCCCAGATACAGGTCGATGTCTTGGTTGGAGGCATCAACAAACTCGTAGCCAGTCGTTCTGGGCCGCTGGATGTAGTGTGCATTGCCGCTGATGGATCGCCGTGGATCGTTGTCTTTGGGCCACGACAGCCGCAGGCCGTAGCCCTCGCAAGTCTTGCCGCGTTGTTTGCACTTGGCACAGCCGGGCAGGGCGCGGTCACAGGCAATTTTGCGGTCTGGCGATAATTCGTAAGTAAACAGTGAAGTAGCGAGACAGGGGGGGGGGGAGATAAGAGTAAGATGGGCATACCACGGCAGTTCCAGCACCGTTTCGCCGACCGTACGTCGCCGACTTGAGTCTTTGACGTGGACTTTGCCACCATGGCGATGATGACGTCCGGTGGTGTGTCGCGGTATGCGTTGTGTTTGGATTTTGGATCTTTCGTTTTTGCGTGCTCCGTGTGCGGCAATGGCGGCGCCAGAAGTTGCCTTGGATTACCAATGCGGGGAGTAGAGGGCAAGAGCGTGCTGCGGACTGGATACAGTGCATTGGATTCGGGCGCCGGCTGCCTGGGACGCACCGACATCGAAATGCCAGAAAGTAAATGCGAATGCGCCATGATGCGTATAAATATGCGCGTTGTTGTCGCGAAGACGTCAGGTGTATGTTGTTGATCAAGATCGAAGTGAGCCAATCCAAGTTGGATCCAACAGTTGGATGAGCCTTTTGACTGGTCCCGGAGAAAATCCCGAGAAATCTCAGCTGCTAGCAAGCGGCTCAGGGGCCGCTGGCGACCTGGCGAAATTGCTACACAAGCACTAAAGCCGGGTTGGCTAGGGCAAAATGCCGAGACAAGTCCACCCTACCACCTCGGTGAACCGGTCCACTGCACTGCCCCCGCCTGATGGCTGCTACAAGCTTCTATTGTATTCTGCTGGCGCCTTCTGTAACACGACTGACATCCAATTGATGTCATCCCGCAGAACATACTTTTATTTCTCAAGCTTGAGCTTCGCCCCAGAATCTCCAACGTTGCACCTTGCACAACATGATCACCGACAGATGGCCGTTCCTGAGCTGTCCGGTCACAAAAATAAAAATAGAAACTGGAAATGGAATGTAAGCATTGGAATGGCTGTAGTTGGGCACAGTACTGGCTAGGTACAATGTAAGCTTGCATGCGGATCTGCACGGCAAGCACAATTTCGTTTCGCGCTCCTTTTTCCTCTCTTGCATATTGGTCCCTGGCGTAGGGCTGAATGACGGAACGAAGTGAGAGCTAGCTACGACGTCGATGCATCCAGAA